TGTCTTTCTTAGAGATGAAAAAAGGTAAAGGCAAAGAAAGTGATATTTGCTCCCAACCCAGAACTCTCCCCCAACCTTTTTAAATATCCTAGTTGCGCCTATGCTCGTATAGGTATTTATTTGTTTACCAAGTACTGTTAAACCTAAACCCTTGGGTAAACAATTAATGTCAGTACGTTTCACCAACTTTTACAAAAGTACTCCTTCTTCTTACAAATTATGCAGTATTATCTTTCTCACAGAAAATACTGTCCGTCAGAGTCGAGTGTATTCCGCTCAGGGGCGGATACAGGATTTAAGTGAGGGGGGTGCTGAATCATATCCAACAAAAGTTTCCATATTTATAAACAAAAAGGCTTGACTTTTGATATTTTTCCTGTTTTGCACTAGGTATTCTCTCCCGTAAGTGCTATTAAGAAGCTATTCTGAAATCTCAGGGGGGGCTAAGCCCCCCCCCCTGTATCCGCCCCAGATTCCGCTACAAAACGGATATTGTGTTCGTCCTATCAACCGGATCCGGATCAAGAATCTAAATAAAAAACAAGACGACATATAGAGACTTCACCTATCTTTCATGACACATAAGGATTTTGACCATTATAAAGAAATTGCGGAAAGGGAGGAATTGGATGTTGACGGAATTTAAAGAGACAATTGACGCAAATATAATAGACCCTCCATTTAAAAAGTTAGAATCGGAACAGTAGACTTAAATCCTTAATTTGAGGAACAATAAGAAAAATATCGCCGTTTAAAGGGAGTGACCGGCAATGTATGGTAATTGAACTGAAAATGTAGTATTGTGGAGAAATTCTTTAGGATTCATTTGAGATATATAAAACGTTTTAATGGTGTATAATTACTGAGTTTGAGCGCAAAGTTAACAATCAAAATAATGCATTTGGGTGGTTACGTTTTGAGAATCGTTTTGTTTAATTATTAAATAACGACGATAAAAAATGTAACAAAAATTCTACAGTAAAATGATTAGTTGGTTAGGAGCAGGTTGAAAAAATAAAAATAAAAATTGATTCGTATCATCGAAAATAAGTAATCCTATTCAGTTATTAGTTTCTGTAATCTCTCATTGTTCACATACATTTTCTGGAATTTCTATTGAAAATACGACATTTGAAGAATTGTAGAAATCTGCGAACATATTCGCAACGAATCAAAAATTTAATATAATGATGAAAATGAGATAATTGATTCTAACATTGATTTATTTACAAATTTATATTGAAAAAAATATGTTCCTAAACATCTAATTAGTATACTGTAGAATTTTTGATACATTTTTTTGTCGCCATTATTCAATAAAGTAAAAAAATAACAATTCTCATAACTTAACCACCCAAATGGATGATTTTGAAAGTCAAACTCAGTAATTATACATCATTAAAACGTTTTATATATCTCCAATGAATCCTAAACATTCCTCCACAATACTACATTCTCAGTTCAACTACCATACATTGCCGGTCACTCCCTTTCTCTCGATCGGGCATGACAACTTTTTAGATCGAGTCACTTTTAGTAGTTTAGCTGAACTTTTGTACAACTCCCCCCCCCGCCCCTTCTCCAAATTTTAAACAAGTTAGAAAACCGCAACTGAAATGAATCATAAAAAGCAAATGAATAAAATTTACAGTTTACACGTATACATTTTGCAGCAAGTAAATTTCTATTACTTGCTAAACTAAAAAGTTGAGCTTTAAAAAAACACAGCCTTATAGATGCTTTTATCTCAAATAAAGTTAGAACGTCTGAACCGATTCTTCGTATGGTGGTTTATATGGCCGGTCACAATTCAAAATTGTCAAAATTGAAATTCAACGAAGTGTGTTTATTCGCGACAAAGAGTTCAAATGTTGTCTGTAGGTTAAGATAAGCTGTCATTACCAAGTCAAAATAAGAATTTTACATTTTTTCATTAAATTAATTACATAAATTATTTTATTTCCCCAAAATATGACGTTTTATCTATACCCAGCATTATAATATTAGTAGAAAAGAAGGCTGGGTAGAAATAAAAATCCTATCAATTGAATAAATTCTGATATTTTGAAACTAGACAAAACCAAACAAATTCTAGATAAGACATATTCTTTATATGATAGTAAAACATCCAACAAAATATAAACCATTTTGTAACTTAACTATAGTATAAAAATACTAGCTTGGGAACCCAGCTTTGTCTGGAGTTTTTTCCAAGTTAAACCATTCCATTGTTCAACAGAGTTATCTCAATCAAAATTTGAGGCAAAACGGACAAACAAACAGACAAACACTAAATATATATATATATAACCCTAAAACTGAGAATGTAATAAAAGTTTGCCGAACTTAGTATAAGTAATTCTCATTAAACCTCTTGTTATTTCTAGTTAAAAAAAAACAAGTTTAGCGGAAATAAGGAGAACATACTTTTAGAAAATTTCTATTGACAAATAGGCTTTTAAATCTCTGATTTCTACCATTACATTTTAACATTATTTTGTTTCCAACATCTTGAAATAAACCGGAAATAAAAATCTGTTGTTTATACGGAAGACCCTTAAAAGGTTTCACGGTAATTTAAATGTATTGCTTCCTTTCTATTTTCAGACCTTTTTTGCACTGATTAAATGAAAAAATTTCTATTTAACACTTTTAGTCAATGCAAATTGTTATTAAATTTTAAACCGTGTCAGGTTTGTTACGCTTTGTTTATTGGATTATATTTAACAGATTTGTTAACAGTTTCCAAAATTATACATTTTGTAACCCTGTCTGTGAAGATTATAAAGCTTCAAAGGAATTGTTTCTAACAAACTTTGGAAAGCCCGAGTTTTACTATTTTACATTTAAGACGTGTTGCTTGAGCTTCATCATCAATAATCATTCCATTATTTATTCAAATTACAACGGATTTAATTAGAGCTGGGAATAAAGGCGCCGAGCGACCAGAAATATGACTAAATAGATGATGGTCAAAGCAATTAAACAGGGTGCTTACACGTCTAAACACACCCTGTCACAATTCTTGTTGTACTTCATTTTCTGCATTACACTCTTGTTTTCCAATGTTGGGCCTAAACCTATGATTGAACATAAACCTAGACTTTGAACTAGCACTTGGTAGTTACCTGGACAAAATGTCTCTTCAGCTTCATAGTCGGAGTAAGCTCTCCTCCAGCGAGACTGAAATCCCTCGGAGCAATCATAAACTTGTAAAAACATAAAAATTTAGACAGAACACTTGCTAACCATTAAGATTAAAACTTGTCTCAAAAGAAATATAAATTTCAAAGTTTTATTATTTTTCTTAGAATGTCTTCATTAACAATCAAATAAGTTTTAATTTTATATTTTTTATTCAGAATTTGTTGAAAACATTTCAGGTTTTGTCGGGACAATTTCCAAAAATCTAAATGTTTAATCCAACCAAATATCCCCCCCCCCCTCACTTTTATATCGTCATGGTTTAGAGTTAAAGTTTGTAAAATTTGAATTTATTAAATCATCTATAATATTAAACCTGTTCGCTCCTATATATGTATATGTTAGCTATGGCTGACCAAACGGCTGAACCGAATGGGCTGAAATTTTTGAAGGAAACCCTTGAGTAACACTGGGGTAACATAGGCTAAAAAAATACCATTTTTTTAATAGTTTTTTTTTCAGCTAGTGAAGAAAATTTCTAGTTGAAATATTAGATATTAATTTCTTCTGTATTACAGAAGTTCAAAAGAAAAAGAAAAAAATGAAGCGATGCATAAAATTAGAAAAACAATTCACAATAAACAATAAGCCAAACAGGGACTACACAAACAATAAGTCAAACAGGGACTATACAAACAATAGGCAAAACAGGGACTACACATACCATGAATCAAACAGGGACTACACATACAATAAGTCAAACAGGGTCTACACATACAATAAGTCAAACAGGGACTTCACAAACAATAAGCCAAACAGGGACTGCACATACAATAAGTCAAACAGGGACTACACAAACAATGCCAAACAGGGACTACTCAAACAATAAGCCAAACAGGGACTACACAAACAATAAGCCAAACAATGACTAATCAAACAATAGAAAAATACAACCTAGGGACTACACATACAATACAACGCAGGGACTTCAAGAATAATACAAAAAAATACAAAATAGATCGTGGACTTTTATCAAAACAGAAACTTAAATAAATGGGGTTGAATATCCTGAAGATTGAGCTGTTAAAAAAAGATTTCAAAAATTACTTTTCAAGTTTAGTGGTTGATGTTCATGCATTTATTGCGTCAGTGTTGCGTAAATGCGTAAACTAGTTTGTATCCTATTCTACCTGTGGATTTGCCTGCACTAGAGATGAATTAACGAAGCTCAGGGTTTTCATGATACCCTCCATACTGGTAACTGAATATATATGTCACCTACACTGTATTTGTCACTAACTAACTAGCTGACTACCCCGCTAAATAATATGTATGTGTGCAGACATACTGGTTGCCAAGCCTAGAGTGCCGTCGGTACCCAGCTCTAGATAGATAGATAGATACTCAGATAGAAACTCAGATAGATAGATAGTTAACATCCTCCACACAAACCGGAGGATCTAACGCACCTACAGATAGATAGATATGGAAGAATTTGAATCTATTTTTAGGTTCAGGTTGGAGATAATGTTTGAAAAACAGAGAAATTAAGATTAATTAACAATGTTAGAAAAAACTGTTTCTTTCAAAGCGATTTAGTTGCAATTAATCAGACCTAGTTAATCATGTTTATGTTTATTCATTCCTTTATTACACAATAAATTTTTCTTACTAAACTTTTTTTTTGGTTCTTTTTCACATTGACACTAATGGCCAGCTAGCTCATGGTTAAAAATTGTATAAGAATAGAAATTTTTTAGAAATTACGTAATTATTTTCTTTGTTGAACCTTTCAAATATAAAAATAAAATCTCTATCAACGAAGTGGCACATATGTATTAACGTCTTCTAACTGTCTCTGAAGTTTTTATTATTTTAAAGAATGGACTTTTGGACAAAATAAACAACCAAACAAAAGAACCTTAAATAGAGCCAATCATTTATAAGTACTATGGTTTTAATGTTTAACGATAATCGTCACAGTTTATTATAAAAAATGTAGAAATTTAGAATCTGAACCAGCTACGTAATACAAGGGTACCCACTAAACACGAGACTTAAATGAAGACCTAATGCTAGGGCTTCCAACGCGAGTGGATTTTACTTTCGCGCAATTGCAAGCTCTGTAAACTCCACACAATTGCGCGCAATTCGAGAACAGTTGTGCGCAATTCCCCACAGTTGCGCGCAATTCCGCGCAACGGAATTCTGATTGTAAACCTACCTAAAAGTGACAAGAGGTATAACTTGTTACAATGTGCTTAATATAGTTATATCAATGTTTTTGCTGATAGCTGATTAGTCAAGAGAAACAAGTTGACAGTTGCATAGAAAGATAGGGAAAAACAGATTAAATCAGTACAGTCTTCTCTTAGGTCCCATTCTTTGTAAATCCCTAGGGTGGTTAGCAATCATCTATTTCTTGCAGAAGAGGACGCACCCCTAAGGATCCAATGATGTTGAGGATGCAAAGTAAAGAAACACTTTGAGGACGCACAGTAAAGACACACTTTGAGGACGCACAGTAAAGCCACACTTTTAGAATGATCTAGATCGTGAAATACATACAAACATACATCTCAGCTTTATATAGTAGGATGTATATTGATTAGTGAGCTGCCCTCAGCTAATTAGCTGAAACACATCATGATTCTAGTAATGGTATTTAGCTAATTGCATTGTGGTATAAAAGAAAAATTTATAGTTCTCTTATAACAATGATTTTCTTCTTCCAATCTGGGTCTTCGTTCGAAGATTAGGATTGGATATTTTTAGAGAATTTGGGATATAATAATAAACACTAGCTGAAGTGCTCGGCGTTTTAGCCTATAACACCCCCCCATAGAGAAAAATCAATTTTATCCAGCCGTTTGGTCAGCTATAGCTGTCATAATACTTTAAAAAACAACCCTTGAAAAAAATCTATATCTTAGGAGATACACTCCATTTTATTGCAGATCTGCCGTTTAATTCCCACCTATTTAATTCCCTGCTGGTTTAATTCATTCCCCCCTACCCCCGTTTAATTCCCACCTATTTGAATTCCCTGCTGGTTTAATCCCTTCCCCCCCTTTAATTCCCACCTAGTTGAATTCCCTGCTGGTTTACCAATTACTTGAAATTTATAGTTCTCCGGATGTAACTTCATCTTCGCTTCTCGACAGAAACTGTTCTCAAAATAAAACTTAAAAACATCATTCTTTTCGCGACATACAAAGACATAAATGTCAATTAAGAGAAAAATATGAAAAAGCTGTAATTCCCTTGCGTTTTTTAGCATTTGAATTTTACTCCTCAGCACTAAAAGAAACATGCATCAGATTATAGATCAGCAGTTTTCTTGAATTTTTGGAGTTCACTGAATATGAATATGAATATGAATATAGTTATTACGATTTATAACTATGTTTCTAATAATTTATTTCCGAATGAGAGTTCTCCAACATAATTCTAGATCTTTTATCAAAAATACTCTAAACGTAATTAATAAATACTATCGTCTTTTTACTAAATAAAAGCTGGAGGTCATGCGACTCAAATTAAATTGAACCACATGTTACAAAACATATTGCTTACATTTTGATTTCTTTTTTTTAAGTTTTAACATAATTCAACAGAAAGGGTTCAGCTCCGACAAAAAGTAAATATATTTTAGCATAATTTCAGTGAAAACTTAAATATTTGTTGGCTGCATCAGTACATAACTAATTGTAAGAAGAACTAGGCTAAAGATCGTGTTAAAAATAATTTTTATATTTCAAAAGAATTATTTTCTCGAGAAAGGATTGTTTCAAATTTTAATGAGCGTTTTGATAATCACAATTATTGAATTTTAATTTTCATTTCGTAGATTGAGGAGATAGTAGGACTCCCTAAACACATGATTTGAAGCTCTGACGTTTGATGTTTTTAATAAATGTATGCAGTTATGTTTGAGATATTTTAAAATCCAGTTTTTAATGAATTCAAGCAGTTATGTTTGTGATATCTTAAATCCAGTTTTTAATGAATTTAAGTAGTATGTTTGTGATGCTGAACTAGCAAAGAGATAAACTTATATAGGTTTCAATGATGTTAATGAAGTTATTGCTGATACTGAAGCTGTTGCTCATGATAAAGTTACTCTAGCTGATGACTGGTGGCAATGTTCTGATTACTCTACAGTTTTCTTGTTTACCACATAGAGCTCTGGGTCTCGTGCTCGTACATGCGGTCAATCTGCTTCGCATACAAGTCCTGAAACACGTATATATGAAATATCTGGTACAGTGTACAGTGTACAGGGGGATCAATATTGGAATTAAGCCAACCGCCCACCGGGGGTTGCTGCGTTTTTACTTTAAAAAATAATTCAAAATCGTTCATACGGTTGCGAATTGACAATTTAATATCGATCCAATAAGGCTCCAAAAAATAATATTTTAAATGTTATAAATCATTTTCTTGGGAATTTTACGCTGAATTCAAACCTGAAAAGCGCTTATAAAAATATAAAAAATCGAAGAAGTTAAAAACAAAAAACGGTCCGAAAATCCATTTTTTAGCTTTTTTAAAGTTTTGATGAGTTTTCTAGCTCTAACTCATTTCATTTTTTTTTAAAGCGTTTTTCATATTTGATGTTCAAGAAAATTATGTATAACATGAAATTATTCATTTTTTGGAGGGGGGGGGGAGCCTTACGTAAATCGTTAATTTGCAACCGTATGGACGATTTCGAATTTTTTTAAATTGCAATTTTTATTAAGTGAAAACGCAGAAACCTCAGGTGGGCGGTTAACTGATTTCTAAAAAAAACTACAAATCAGTCACCCTTAGTGTACAGTTTACAGCGAATAATGAACAAGTAAAACAAAAATATTGTACAGCGCACATTCGAAGTGGTCAAAGTTTTTAAAGAATAAAATAATATGAACTGTGAACCTGAAGTTTTCGTAACGTGTGTCGTTTAAAGTTGATTTTTTTTAGGATAACCTTTGAACTAGCACTTGGTAGTTACCTGGACAAAATGTCTCTTCAGCTTCATAGTCGGAGTAAGCTCTCCTCCAGCGAGACTGAAATCCCTTGGAGCAATCATAAACTTGTGAACCTAAATAAGCATTATAGTACTTTCTACTTTTAAAGTAATTTTGAGTAATTTAATAATTGATGTGTAGCAAACCTTCTGAGCATTAGAGACTGCCTTTCTGTTCACTTTCTGAATTCCAGCTAGGATCTCAAGACGAACCTCTTCTTCATCCTTTACAAGCAATATTTAGCAATCAGTTAATCAAACATTTAGCAATTAGTTTATCAATCAATATTTAGCTGTAGGTTAATAAAATATTTAGCAATAATTTTATCAATCAATATTTGGCAATCGGTTAATTTAATATTTAGCAATCAGTTAATTAAATATTTAGCATTAAGATAATCAATTAATATTTAGCAATTCGCTTATCACTCAATATTTAGCAATAAGTTAATCAATCAATATTTAGCAATCAGTTCATCAATCAATATTTAGCAATCAGTTAATCAATCAATATTTAGCAATCAGGTAATCAATCAACATTTAGCAATCAGTTCATGAAACAATATTTAGCAATTAGTTCATGAATCAATATTTATCAATCAGTAAAGTTCATCAATCAAAATTTAGCAATCAGTTCATTAACCAATAAATAGCAACCAAGTAAATATTTACCCTAGTGACCGGAACCTACCTAAATATTTACCCAAGTGACCGGAACCTATCTAAATATTAACCCTAGTGACCGGAACTTACCTAAATATTAACCTACCGACCAACCTACCTAAATATTAGCCCTGGTGACCGGAACCTACCTAAATATAAACCTATTGACCAACCTACCTATATATTAGCCCTGGTGACCGGGCCCTACCAAAAAATTAGCCCTGGTGACCGGGCCCTATCTAAATATTAAAACTAGTGACCGGAACCTACCTAAATATTAACCTTAGTGACAGGAACCTACCAAAATATAAACCTAGTGACCAACCTACCTAAATATTAACCCTAGTGACCGGAACCTACCTAAATATTAGCCCTGGTGACCGGCCCTGTCTTGATATTAACCCTAGTAACCGGAACCTACCTAAATATTAACCCTAGTGACCGGAACCTACCTAAATATAAACCTACTGACCAACCTACCTATATATTAGCCTTGGTGACCGGGCCCTACCAAAAAATTAGCCCTGGTGACCGGGCCCTAACTAAATATTAAACCTATTGACCGGAACCTACCTAAATATTAACCTTAGTGACAGGAACCTACCTAAATATAAACCTAGTGACCAACCTACCTAAATATTATCCTTGGATACCGGGCCCTACCTAAATATTAGCCCTGGTGGCCGGGCCCTTCCTAATAAACCCAATTGAAACCTACCTCTAAAAGCTCCGAGATGGTTTCAGCTTCAGCACCAAGATTTTCGGCCCACTACAGTAAATAAAAATATAGAAAACCAGCTGTATTGCCCGGCTGTGCCCGTGGAATTAAAAGAAAATTTGTATTCTATAGAGAAAAATCAATTTTATCCAGCCGTTTGGTCAGCTATAGCTGTCATAATACTTTAAAAAACAACCCTTGAAAAAAATCTATATCTTAGGAGATACATTCCATTTTATTGTAGATCTGTCGTGCAAATCATGGATTCTAATCCAGCTTATAAATATTTCTAAATGTGTTACATTTCTGATAAATATGAAAAGGCGGAAAGCAAATCAAATCATGCTGCCAGGAAGTCCTACTATCAACTCCCAAACTTGAAATGTATATGGTTGTGTACATTAATAAGGATTAGTTAAAACCATTTCAATTTGGAGGTCATTATCGGTCGTTAGAGGTCATTAGAAGGTCAAACACTGGATTCATTGCTGCTTCTATATTCCCTGAGTTCCCAGCTTACGTTTGATATGCATGAAGCCATAGTTTAAACATTTTCTGTTTGTCACGATCATTAGAGATCATTAGAGGTCATTAGAGTTAGTGCCCAATTTTATTTTATTTTAGGAAATGGGAACACAAATTAGGCTTGCGGCCAAAAAATTGGAAGATTTGAACCAAAAATGAAGACAGGGAATCCCCCCCGGCCCCCCTCGTCCACAATCCCCATTCTAAAAATATCTTAATCTTTTATTGTAATTCGCCGCTACTTCATTTTTCACTTAAAGGATAAGTTTTACCAATCTCTCATTAATCCATACTTGAGATTTTAGTTGAAAGAGGAAACAATAGAATTTTAAGGTATATATTGTGTTTTTATCAAATAGAATAGAATATATATTAGAGTGGAATTTAGAAATCCCTCGGTATGATTTTTGTTAGTAGAGTACATTAATACAGTATGTTCCCCAGTCTATCCATTTCAATTTCGAATTTTTAAAGCTGATAAATAAACTTTATAAAATGAATTACGTGAATAAAAAACATCACTTGATTTATAACGGAAAATCATCGTTTGTAAAGTGGAAGGCATAGAGTCTATGTAAAATGATCATTGGTCAATTATGAAACCAGCCTATTTCATAATTTGGGTTTCTTTTAATATTCATTTTAGATTTTCTATAAAATGATATTCCAGGGCCCAACAGGTTATATAGCATAAATATGTGAAGTACACCTGCAGTATGGAAACAGTACAACAAAATGGCCGTTTTACACTTTTTTCTAGTAAATTCCCCTCTAATATATATTCTATTCTCTATGGTTTATATCCCTAAGATCTGGTTCCTGATTAAACTATTACCTTCTTGACATCTGGATGAAGGATATCAGTAGGCTGGCCCTGGGCATCCAGCTGACTCCTTTGAACAAACTTTTATTTCTTTTTTGAAAAAAAAAAATTATGAATTGTTTTTAAAACAGGTCAATTAGCAGATTTGTTACCTTAATGGATAGTTTTTTTTCTGAATTGTCTTATTACCCGCTCCAATTGAGATATGTTCCCTCTAAACTGTGAGGGGAAGTGACCTGACCCTATGCAGTCCCTACCGTACCTGATGGTAACTATTGCTGCAAGATGTTTCCTCTTGTCTCCAACAACCATCACATTAGAAATCACTTCCGGCATCTGTGCCTGATGAGCAAAAAAAATTTATATTTTTGACAAAGTTTCAAAAGAAAGGCATTTATTTTTATAATCCGAAAGTTTAGATTTTATTTCAGGTAAAATTTTAAAATAAGAAAGTAAAAATTAGTACAGAAAGTTTATTTCAAAAAATGATATTGTGAAAAAATATTGTTGAGTGAATTTTAGTGGAAAGGACTATGTAGATTGTAGAAGGGTATAAAGAGAAGAAAGGAACAAAAATAACAAACGCGTAATTTAGATTTTTTTCTTTTTATACTCAATTATCCAGAATCAGTGCAATAGCAAAAAAGTAAAAAAAAAACAATAATTTAAGTACTTTTTTAATTTTTCTTTCAATCAAGTCGGCTGTAAACCTTGTCAAAACTGACATACCAACATCATCCATATCTCTAAATGACACGCCCTAAATTACTACCTTTATGGCGTCTTCAATAGGTATTGGGGCAACGTTCTCCCCGCCCCCTGTCACAATAATCTCCTTGCTCCGCCCACCAACTATCAGAAAACCCTATACAATCATTTCAACTTCAACTAAGTGTAAACAAGGGTAAATATTTTTAATAATTTAGCCCCGCCCCCCTCTCGGACACCTTTATGACAGTTAATAACTTTTGTGTAAAAGAAATTAAGTTTTTTTGTTAAATTAAATAAAATTTGAATTGACTCAGCGGCTTTGAAAAAAAGAAAAAGAAAATATTTTCCTGATCGTCGAATCTTCCAAGATCTCCAGAATGAACCCATCCTTCTTCATCTATCAGTTCCTAGAAAATCAATCAATAAGCATTCTTTATATCAATCATCCAAACTGATATTGATCAACATATTGCTAGGACGTAGACCAATTTATAAGTACTAAAGAAGAACATTTACGTTAATTTGGACACTTATTGAACGATTAATACATCTTCAGCCAATTTCTAAAAAATTGAATAAATCAATTCACTGTAAATCAATTGACTATAATAAATCAATTCAATCATTATGCTTATTTGATTTTTAACAATATTATAAAATATTACCAATGTTTTAGGTTCATCCCACAGATATCCAATACAACAGTTTCTACCTCTAATAAATCAAATTCTTTGAAATAATACAGTAAAAAATGTGATTCTCTTATTATAAATAAACATAAAAAAATGTTCTCAGGTATTTGGAAATTTTATCGTAAAAAAAACTTTAAAATTGTTCTTTGTTATTTGGTATTTTTTCATAATAAATATTTATAAAAAATATAAAAATATTCTCATGTACAGTCTTCGTTGTAAATATCAATATATTGAGGATGACTTTCTATTTCAGACGAAATGGATCCACATAAATATGTAAACAAAGAAAAGTTCTCTTTCTTTACTCATAAACTTGTAATTTTAAAACAGCTTGTTAGAAATTAAAACTTCTACAGTAAAATAGGATGCATTGTATTGATATAAACGCCTACTGTATTTGAAAATTCCAAATCCAATCCAAAAAACATTTGATAATTTTATCATACATAAGAAAATATTCTCAGGAATTTCATAATTTTATCATAGTAAAGAAGGGTTCCATGATTATAAAGTTCCAATATATTTTTAGATTTAAAATCATGCAATTTTTTTCATACAAATATATGTGACTAATTTTTACAAGAATGTTGAAATAGTAAATTGTGATTTTTTATTTGTATTATCTCGTGCTTTGTAGTTGAATACAAATATGAAATGAAATTAAATGAGTTTCAAAAATATACAATATACATCCTACAATCAAATAAAACCATCTGTTAAGTTATAAATCTGTTATAGTATTAATCTAAATACATCACCTATTTATAAAAGAGATAAATTCTTAAATACTATATACACAAGGAAATGAAAAAGAGGACCTCACAAAAAAGATAACATAAGCATAACATTTCTCAGCCCAATCGGTCTAGCCGTTTGGCCGGCTATACGCAATATATATATATACATATATATATATATATATTAGATATTTAAACCGCATTACAAAATTAAAACATAGATTTAAGTACCTGTTAACCACTGAGCGGACCAATGAGCGGACAAGCTAGGTCAAGGTCATCTTTATCTGAAAAAAAAGAAAACGAGCTAAATAAAGGAACCTTTGTTTAGAATTCCCTCCTAGAATTTTCCTTAGGTTAATTTTTATTCCCTCCTAGAATTTCCCCCTAGGTTAATACCTAATTCCCTTCTAGAATTTTCCTCGAGGTTAATTGCTCCAAATTTAATTCCATTTTTCCAACACTACCAATCTGAAATAAAATCTTTAAATGGAGTAACGGAATATAAACTTAAGTTTACAAAAAGCTAGGATAGATTTTTCCAACACTACCAATCTGAAATAAAATCTTTAAATGGAGTAACGGAATATAAACTTATGTTTACAAAAAGTTATTGTTATAGTAAAATTTATATGTCTCTAAATCAAATAAAGGTTTAATTAGTTGGCATATAATTTCCTTTCAAAATATTCTTAATATGTCTAATTTTTTATTAAAACAATCATACATAATGATTAATATATTTTTGACTTCGATACAAGGATGAGCAAAGATCTCTAAAGTAGGAAGACGACTTTAAGAATAAATTTCAATCATTAAATATTTGAGTCTAGTGAAGCTCTATATTAAATAAAGATTAAAATAATCTGTAGATTAACAACCAATCGATATCAATAGTTACCACCCCTCTGACCTTCATGTTTACTCCTGGCGTAGATGCACTCTGAGGCCCACTGGTCTCTGAGCTACCCAGCAATTCCTGAACAGTTCTTCAATCTACAAACTAGTCACTAAGATACCCAGAAATTCTTAAATTGTTCTACAATCTACAACTCGTCTCAGAGCTACCCATCAATTCCTAACAGTTCTACAATCTACAAGCTGGTCTCTGAGCTACCCAGCAATTCCTAACAGTTCTACAATCTACAAACTGGTCTCTGAGCTACCCAGCAATTCCTAAACAGTTCTACAATATACAAGCTAGCCACTAAGATACCCAGAAATTCTTAAATTGTTTTACAATCTACAACTCGTCTCAGAGCTACCCAGCAATTCCTAAACAGTTCTACAATCTACAACTCGTCTCAGAGCTACCCAGCAATTCCTAAACAGTTCTTCAATCTACAAACTGGTCTCTGAGCTACCCAGCAATTCCTAAACAGTTATTCATTCTACAAACTGGTCTCTGAGCTACCCAGCAATTCCTAAACAGTTCTACAATCTACAAGCTGGTCTCAGAGCTACCCAGCAATTCCTAAACAGTTCTACAATCAACAAGCTGGTCACTGAGCTACCCAGAAATTCCTAAACAGTTCTACAATCTACAAACTGGTCTCTGAGCTACCCAGCAATTCCTAAACAGTTCTTCAATCTACAAACTGGCCACTGAGCTACCCAGCAATTCCTAAACAGTTCTACAATCAACAAGCTGGTCACTGAGCTACCCAGCAATTCCTAAACAGTTCTTCAATCTACAAGCTGGTCACTGAGCTCAAGCTGGTCACTGAGCTACCCAGCAATTCCTATACAGTTCTACAATCTACAATCTGGTCTCTGAGCCTGAGCTACCCAGCAATTCCTAAACAGTCCTACAATCTACAAACTGGTCTCTGAGCTACCCAGAAATTCCTTAACAGTTCTACAATCTACAAGCTGGTCTCTGAGCTACCCAGCAATTCCTTACAGTTCTACAATCTACAAACTGGTCTCTGAGCTACCCAGAAATTCCTTAACAGTTCTACAATCTACAAGCTGGTCTCTGAGCTAACCTCCAATTCCTAAACAGTTCTATGATCTACAAGCTTGTCTCTGAGCTACCAAGCAATTCCTTAACAGTTCTTCAATCTACAAGCTGGTCTCTGAGCTACCCATCAATTCATAACAGTTCTACAATCTACAAGCTGGTCACTGAGCTACACAGCAATGCCTTAACAGTTCTTCTGTAGTAAATATCGTAGCACTCCACATATTGCTTAACCTTAGCATACCTAGATAAACATGAGCTAAATAACATGATTTAAACATGCATTACGATTAGATTAACTACGTATCCATGTTAATCTTCTAAATACGTACATTCAACTTAAATTACACTGTAAACATTATATCTATTCTCGCTAATCTTATGAATATGTACATTAAACCCATCCAATGTATGTATATATATATTTATATATATAATTCTGTCATGCCCATATTGTAATTGCTTAACTTGTTATATATATATATATATATATATATAACAGCGCATAACTTGTAATATAGGCTTTTTCTTTTGTTATTTCTGTGTTTTAGTCTAGAATGAGCAGAGAACATTTTCGGTGTTAAAAAAAAGTTTTCTCTGAAATTACTTTTAAATGTTTAGAAAAAAAATGTTACAGAGATCAGAAGTTTTGTAGAAGATGACGTTTATCTAAAATGCCTGAGCTCGATTAACCCATAACAGACAATTTTAAATGTGAAACGATTAATTACTTAATCCGCAGAAATTTCCGTTTATTTCTCATTGGACGAAGTGGCGTCTAAAATTTGAAAGGTATCCGTTGAAATGCAAAAGATAAAGATTAGTGCTTGTTTTTTTTCTTCTTGTTTTTTCTAGTGCACTCTAGTAAATATATTTTAAGTAAAGCTTAAAACAAATCAAAAAATATGTATTAGATTAAGCTAATTTTCTTTTTTTTTCTTTTGAAAAACCAAAACTTAATTTTTTCAATACCAATGTAACAGATAGAAGTAAGATTAGTAACAATCACTATCGAATTCTTTTCGACGTAAGCCTTTACTCCCTTTTTTAGCAAGCATTTCCTTTAAAGCTGTCCCGGAGGGCAAGAATCATCAGATACTTTTTGTAGATAATCAACAGTTGATTTGTTAAAATGCTATCATATTCAACAGTCTCCATTTACGGTTTCAGGATAAAATAGCAGCGATTATCTCAACAGAAAAATTGAATATTATGGCCCTCAATGACGACTTAGTTGTCTTCTATACTCGAAAACTGAAGTTTGTAAAGTAAAAAATTCCAACCTGAATTGGCATATCCAGACTCTGGAAGTACTTGAAGACCTCTTCACTGAGTGGGGCAGCACTGGAGTAGAATCCCTTTACAAGTCCATTCACATTCATAATCAAATACTTCTTCTTTTCCAGACATTATTGGGAAAATATTGAAGAGAGGGATTAAAGTGTGACAACGACATCTATCTATATAATAAATCTACTCCATCATTTAAATGTTCGTTATACCTCTTATCGACTGAACGAAATAGTCTGATTTTTTGTGGAAACCCATGGGATTGGGAACCTCGGGGTAGCATAGGGTAAAAAAAATTATGGATTTTTTTATTTTTTAGCTAAAATTATGATTTAAGATCCAGCGCGGTTAAAAGGTGGAAGTAACTAAGGGCAACGCAGAGCAATAAATTAAAAAAACACACTAAATTACTAAAGCACTAATTAATTAAAAAATTAAGTAAGACACTAAATCAATAAAATAAGAATTTTCGAAGAAAAAAAAATAATTAATTATTTCATAAATATAAGTTCTAATATTTCGTTAAAAGGGGTTTAGAAAAGGCGACTTTTAAACAAGACTGGTATCGACAATTTATTCGATTTAAAACCTTATTATTTATAATGAGGGGGGTTCTTATTATCCGATGATTGGTTGGTTCTTTTTCAAAAACATCATTTAAATAGATTTAAATAGATAAAGGATCGATAAACGAATAATTGGTTTGTGTGTGGGAAGAAAAATGAAGAGGTAAGGGATGAATATGTTTTCCTTTTTCATTCTCAAATAATATAATTAAATTTTTGTGAAAATAAACTCCGTCATCCTTGATAAGTCCTAGAATTAATGGGTACCGTAGTAAATCTGACAATCCACTTAACAAATGGAGGATCGCTTAAAAGTATAAGCTTTATAATTGACCAATACGTGTCTGGACTTAAACTTTATGCATAATACAATCATCTAAATACGTTTCTGATAAAAATCTTAACATTCAATTTAAGCATGTTTTAACACTTTGAAAGTACGGCTGATGGGGATGGATCGGTTATCTAAGCATGTGTAGATATTTTCTTAGGATAGTGATCAGTATGATTCAGACTGCATCTAGTGGATATACCGTGATAAGAATTTAACAGAAGTAAAACATGTATCTTGCAGAATATTGATTCAAGAAAAATCTGAGGTCGAATTTGAGCCGGCGATCAATTGGAACCGGTTTTTGACGGTTCAGCGACGCGGTCTTAATTCTTTAAATTCGGCCTCAGAAATATGACTCAAAATATGAAATGAGTCTTAACCACCAATTCTGGTTTTACAATCCAATGTCGCACCTCAGCCATTTTTAACTATTTATTCTGTCAAATAAAATAATTTCAGTTTAAAATATCAAAACTTTACATCAGGTTAAAAAGATGTTTCAGGGAAAGACTCAATCCTGTTTGGTTGAAAACTAGGTAGAGGAAAAAAGGATGAAATGGAAATGGTATTCAACATTCATGTGACCTGAAACTTAAGATAGTTGTAAAACCTGAATAAACACAAATTTTTTTATATTTGAAAAGTCGTTGAGCAATGAGCCGTGCTTAGGATCCATTTAATTGTAATGCGGATCCGAATACTGGATCCGCACTAGGAAAACATGGATCTGGATCTGAATCCGATAAACATTTCTTAAGATTAACTGAATTTGTTTTAAAAAGCAAAATGTTTCTTTTTTATCGCTTATTTTTATGCTAAAGCTTGATGAGCCATATCCTTTTTATACAGTTCAAATTTTGGTTTTGGGAGTAAAATCTTGCGGTTTCAAAGCGCTGCTTTTGAGTAGTGAAATGAGAAATGGTGTCTATGATGTGAATAGTTCCTTGGTATTCTCAAATCCTAAAGCTTTCCTTACTCCAGCCATTACTGAACAATTGAGTAGTTTTATCTATTTAACTGGAAATATTTCTTTATGTGTCGTGTCGTTTAATTATTTAAAATTTTCTAATAAGAAAGGTAAAACATTAGAAAATCTCGTATGTTTTTTAAGGCAAAAAAAATGGGAAAGAAGAAAAAGAAATATCATTCCAAGTTAAAAAAAATCAATGAACTATAACCGAGCCCCGCGAGAAATGGTTTCCAAGCCTCTTGGTTCGCAGCTAAATATCTAAAATGGCCTTGCGGTACCCCTTACCTAAAGTTTAAGCAATGGATATTGGATATTACAGAAGTATGAAAAAAAAATTTAGAAGAAATATTTGATATTTAATATTTATTAATTCAATATTTATGTATTGTTTTTTGCATTTTCCAGAAAACAATGCATAACTAGTATGTATTGAAAGATAAATTGTTTCCTTAAAAAAATGTTACTTGTTGCTTCTATAATATCTATTCTAACGTTTAGGGGTAGCGCCAGGTCATTTTATCTCTTGTCAGCTAATTACACCCCTTCCCTCGCCCAATCTTGGTAAGATAAGGCCCACTGCGATATTTCTTCAACTAATTAAATTCCAACAATAAAAATATAACTCTCAAATCTCGTCTTCCTTACAAATTATCTAAAAATGAATATTACTTTACTGATTTCTTTAATATTGGTGTCCGATAATATTAAATTTAAAAAATAAACATTGCCATCTGCTTTTAGAGTTTACCATGTTTGCTAAATGATTCAAGATTCAAGGAGCGGGGGGGGGGTATATAGTAAGATAAGGGTTCCGTCAATTATAAACTATTCCTGTTTTATTCGCAATCTTGTAACTTAAAGAGTTACCGGCTCGACCTTCCATTAGAGCCTAGGATAGATAGATTAATATAGATTGATAGATAGACAATAAATAGAAAGATAGATAGATAGATAGATCGATAGATAAATAGAAAAATATATAAATAGATAGATAGATAAATATATAGATAAATAGATAGATAGATAGATAAACATGTTGATAGATAGATAGATATATAAACATATATATAGTTTCGGCACTGTCAGATACAAGGTGTCCCATATCATATTGGATCGTTTATTGCAGTAAATCGGAACTAATCTGAAAATTTAAAAAGATTGGATCATTTTCAAAAGATGTATACTTCTAATATTAAAATGTAAATGCAGAAAATACCCAGTTTTTTGATAATTATGTTACGTATTTTGACCGACAACACTTGGAGATAATTCAATGTGATATGGGACGCTCTGTGGACAAAAAATAAATTGATTAGATTTATAGGTGAACAGGTAGATAATAGAACAGATATTGTATAGATAGAGATTAAAGGTAGATTGACAAGTATATATATAAAATAGTTGTTTTCAAATGTTGTTATGTTACTTGGTAACAAGATGTTTGGGGCAATTCGGGGGTAATTCATATCATTATTTTAAATCCAAATGTGTAGAATTCAATAGATAAAGCTAGATAAGACTATTATATTAATAATTCTTCTTACCAATATATATATATATGGTAGAGTCCCTTTAAAGGGACTATCGACTGTGGCCTCAAATGATCCTCAATTAAAAAAAAAATTCCATTCCCAATTTACGTAGATACCTTCAGACCTTAAGGTGTAAAATTGAAAGAATGCATCTCCTAAGATAGAAAAGGATATTTTTGTTCTCTAATTTTTACTCAAATATAGGTTTAAGGCGCTCAACTGTGAGGTCAACATGTAACTCTTAAAATCAAATGTCCCTTGAAAATATGTTGAACAGTCCCTTTATATTACGCAACTTATTTGATGATGCTCAAATGTCCCTTGAAAATATGTTAACAGTCCCTTTATATTCTAGAACTTACTTGATGATGCTCAAAGGTAACTTTCTTCGCCCAATCTCCGACTGATTTTTTCATTCCCGTATTTTTCTTAGCAATCTGAATTTTATGGGATTTTTAATCAAAGTTATCATAGGAGATCATAACTTATTTCTAATAACATTCTAAAATCTACAATGTTTTTTTATATTCTTAGCGGTTGGAACTTTGGATAAAGATAGCCCTCGTCTACAGCGCAGTACAATTTCTTAATCCGTGAAAAACAGCCGACTCATATTTATACGAAATTTTGTTTTGTGGAATTTTGTTGTTCGGACTTTAACCAAATTAACTTAATCTGTCTATTCAGGGTTTTCTGAATTCATTAAAAGTTACGATCCAAGGTTTTTCAAACCTTACCAGTTTATTCAAAATTTTAAACCCATTAGATAGAAATGGAATTTAATTTATTAAGTCTGCATAATTATTCCCATACTAGTGATTGCGAATTAAGCAGTTGCTTTTTTGACAACCTGCAGTTTCAACAGAAAGATGTAAATAAATCAAATACTGTTACTTATTATGTTGATTTTGAACAATAATTGAAAATTTTCCTAATTTCAGCTCTTCCACCGCCTGATTAAATGAACTTGTTCAAAATAAGTCATCAATATAATTGTATAAGTGTCAACCTATCTTTTTAACGGTAAGTAAATTCATGTAAACATAATTTGATACCGCTTAGTAACAGATTTGGATTTCTCGGGGAAGTTTTAATATTCAGTTAAAATTTCGAAAACTTGACCAACCCTAATCCTTAACAAATTCTGGTAAGATTTGAAAACTGTTGAAAAAGTACACTGCATTGTGGAATGATATTCTCTTAGGTCAACAAAAATCATAGAATTTATTAGTACGTATTGGAAAGGGTTATATATTCCCCACAAAACTCCCTCGCCTACAAAAAATATTTTTGTGTTTGTAAACAGTTATTGCCCCCCCCCCCCGCCGGCGGCCTCAGGTTAGATGGAAGGCAAAAAATCTAGGAAAATATAAGCCCCTAAAGAATACAATATAAATATAAAAAGTACATAAATTAATTCCTAAATTTAGGAATAAATTTATGTACTATTTGGTGAGGAATAATAACTGAGATAGACATGCTGAAACATCAAAATATTACTTCAATACTGCCCAAGCATTTTCGAATTAAAGAGAAGAAGAGTCAGTGTCCGATTGTTCCAGTATCTGTATCAGTATCAGTGTCAGTATCAATATCAATATCAGTATCAGTATCAGTATCAGCAGTATCAGTATCAGTAGTATCAGTATCAGTATCAGTATCAGTATCAGTACCAGTACCAGTACCAGTATCAGTGTCAGTGTCAGTGTCAGTGTCAGTGTCAGTGTCAGTGTCAGTGTCAGTGTCAGTGTCAGTGTCAGTGTCAGTACCAGTACCAGTACCAGTACCAGTACCAGTATCAGTATCAGTATCAGTATCAGTATCAGCATCACCATCAGCATCATCCCAATTGTCATTGTTATTATCCTCATCATTATTTTTAACATCATTTTCAACATCATATATATCAATATAATAATTCTCTTTAGCAGCGTTTTTTTTATGTCAGTCCTTATCTTAGGGTTAAAAAAGTGATTTCGGAATAAAATGACATAGGTCAATTTTTTTTACAAACTGGCAAACAAAAAAAATCAAATTTCTACAGTATACGTTTTATAAAATCAGAAAATAATTTAATTCTAAAAATTTAAGTTCATAATATAATTTTAATTCATACAATTCATGACATGAACATTTAGCAAATTTGCTAATATAAGAATAAGACCCCAAGTTTGGTTGAATGCTGGTTTGATACAATGTATTTAAAATATTCACCTCCATCATCTTCTCCTGTATCTTCTCATAAACTCTAGGTACACCAAAGAACAGAGTAGGTTTAGCCTCCACCAAAGTTTTCAGCAGGGTTCCCTGTTAAACAAATAAATTACATTCCACGCTGCTGAAAATGGACCATCAGGTTTCAAGTCATAACAACTTAACTTTTTCTTAGGAATATATTTATATGCAGTCTACTGTGTTATTATCTCAATTAATATATCAATTATCTAGGTGGCATTTTCTGAAAATTGAGATTATATCTCAGGAGACTGCATCTATATATAAATTTGGCTTGTCTGTCTGTTTGTTTGTTTGTATCCAATAAACGTCAAAACGGCTGAACCGATCGGGCCCAATTTTTTTGTGGGACATCACGTAACCACAGGGAAGGTTTATGAATGATAAAAATTTTAAATAATGTATTTTAAAGAAAGGTATTTAATTTTGTAAAAAAAAATTTAAATTCTTGAAAATCCGCAAAAAAATTTTCTTCTTTGTTTTAAAATGTAAACAAAAAGAACATGTTCACAATTTAAATAGAAGATGGGCGCCCTAAAAGCCTAGTGTTAATATATTCCAAAGAAAAATTTAGGTGTTTTGACTTGAAGCCTGATGGTCCATTTCCAGCAGTGTAATCTTGTTCTCAGAGCGCGCTGTAAGAATGATTGGAACTGACCAAGAAGAAGACCAAGTCCGTTTCACAAGTATTAAAAGCGTTGTCTGATCAAGTAGAAATTAGATTTCAATATTTACAATATTAAAAAACTGATCATTTTCATTTTGGTTTCTCTACAAAAGTGACTTGCGCATTTCTACTGCAGAAAAACATTTAGGAATTATCAGAAATGAAAACTTTAAACCCTAGAAAAAGTACACATTGCTGTTTAGATTAAGGTTTCAAGGGTACTGGTGTGAATCGGGCATTGCCGTCTTTGCATGTAGGGTTACTTAGATTTAAACTTACAATCCATTAAAAAGGCACAAAAATTATTTCTAGATTACAGAAAACTTTTAAAATATCAATAAAAACAATACTTCTTCAAATACTTCTATACCGTGCAAGATGTTTTGCAACCATAAGTATTACTTTCCGAAACCTAGGATAAATTGGGCTCTTGCCTGAGGAACTGTGCAGTGTGTAAGCATGACTGAGGGTCATATGAATTCAGGCATTTTTTCAACGATTTCAAGCCAATATTTCTTATCAGAAAAACAAGAAAAAGAAGAGTTAAAAATCGTCCCTAAAACCCACGATATATATTTTGTGAGAAAAATTCTAAAAAATATGTGGTACCTGAAGTGCCATCTTGTCTGCAAAGTAAACCGTACCGCCTCCCATCATGTTTAAATAGATATCTAAATAGATATAAATAGATATAAGATATATATAGATAATAAATATATGATAAAAATATATAGATAATCGTTATATGATTGAGATTTATAGATAATAAATTTATCATAGATATATATATATATATATATATAAATTACAAATATATAATAGAAATATTAATGCCTTTTTATTATAAAAGGAAATTTCCTATGCATGAGTTTCATGCCTTCAGTCTTAAATCTTTGATCTACTGAAATATTGAAACTAGCTTGGGAACCCAGCTTTTAATGGAAACTGAACTTACTCTATCAAAGTCGAACCTTTCAAGTTACATTTTTTTAACCAGACTGAGACCATTTCTTATCAAAGTTTGAGGCAAATCTGTCCAGAGGTTCATGAGTTATGATTGGACGTTCATACAGATAGACAGAGTTTTTTATATATACATATATACATACATACATATATATATACATATATACATTATATGCATATATACATATATATACATATGTAACGATATGAATATATAAATTTAAGATGAAGGACAAATGTACATATAGATATTTAACAAAGATTTACTACCGAAGATTGCTGGCAAAGCATGAAACATAATGTTTATTTGAAAATGTGAAGTTGAAAATGGAAAAATATAATCGATATAGATAGATATGAATGGACTTACACTGTAATTTGGAGCTTAAATGAATAAAAATAGCGACTTTCTAATAAAAAGCGGTCAACTATTAGTATTATTATTCAGTATGATCAGTTCTCTGGCTACAGAAGGTCCAATTAATTCAAATAAATTACAAATCTAGAAATACCAATAATTTTGATTTACATGTAAAAGAACAATTAAGATTTAATTAAGCATGTTAAAGGTGGAAACTAATGAAAATATTGAACTAGAAAAATGTCTCCAAGTAAAAGAGCAAGAACAGATAGTTTGAGTACGACGAAGAAAGACCACTCAAATGAAAGTGTTTTTAAATGTTTATCAGAGGCATATTGTGAGAAGCACTCTTGCAATAGTGTGAAGACCCCTAGTGTCATGCAGAATGCTGGAAAAGAGCATGCTGATACAATGGATACTGGAAAAGAGTATGACAAGAAGATGCTTGCAAAAGAAGTGATGCATCCTAGCTTAATGAACTGTGAAAAAGTTAACACTGGAATAAAGGATGCTGACGGGATGAAGACTGCTGGAAAAGTTAACACTGGAATAAAGGATGCTGACGGGATGAAGACTGCTGGAAAAGTATTTTCTATTCTAAAGACTGGGGAAAAGTTGCAAACTGGTGAAATGTATTCTGAAAAGGGAGAAAAAACAGAGAAATGTCTAAACAATATGTCAATTCAACATAATGGAAAAGAGCAGATTAAAGAACATGGTAAAAACGAGAGTTCTGGTGAAATGTATTCTGAAAAGGGAGAAAAAACAGAGAAATGTCTGAACAATATGTCAATTCAACATAATGGAAAAGAGCAGATTAAAGAACATGGTAAAAACGAGAGTTCTGGTGAAAAAACCATTCCATCACAATATGACAAGGATGTGAACATATTTTGGTTTAGAAATGGGATAAGGTTGCATGATAATGGTAGCCTTCATAATGCTTCACAGAATACCAAGGTACAATATGTTCTTGTAAATTTACTTGAAATTTCGTTGCTATTGTCAACATAATTAGCTTAAAAATTGTAGGCTTTCATTGTATTTTCTTTATATTTGAAGTTTCGAAAAATTCACCATGATATAAAATTGAATTATATATAATCAGACTTTGACCGGTACAATTGCTATTTTGTTTAAAACAATCCCGTCCAAAAAAAATGTAAGCAATACTTTGACTGCGCTAACTTTAAAATTTAATTTTTTAAAGTTTTTTTTTTTAATTACTGATTTCCTAGGGTTTGGGGGGGGGGGTTAAAAAAACTAAAGAAAAAAGAGGCATGAACTTGCAAAATATGCACTCATTTCAGTAATACATTTTTTTCAAGAACCTAAATATCAAAATAAACCTTTGTATTGTTAAGGGCAAACTACTACCAATATTTATATTTGATGGTGAGACCCCAACTACCAACTTGTGTGGATACAACAAGATAAAGTTCCTACTGGAATGTTTAGAGGATGTAGAACAACAATTCCAAGAGGCAGGGGGAAAGCTGTACTTTCTTCAGTAAGTAGATTAATAACATAACTGAGCCCGCAATTTAAAAACTTTAGCTTGAGTCATATTTCCTTAAACCTGACTTGAAGACCCAATCTTCGAACCAACTCTGACGACAGCTTGTGTCACGTGAGTGACAGCTGCAAGATCTGCTGCTAGACTTGAAGAGTTAGGCCCAATGAAAATAAAACCGATCTTGGTTGGTTTTACTGGAGAATAAATCTCAATGTTGAGTTTTGTTCTCATAAGAATCCGTAAATAAAGCCCAATGACAGCTTAGACCTAAATAATATTTTCTTGAATTTTTTAAATCGCCGACTCTGAAAACCCAATTTTGTATCAAGGCCTTATCCCACCGAATATACAGAATTTGAGCCACGGCTTTAATATGGTAAGTTCCACTTAAAAATTGCATTCAATTTTTCAAGATTTAAGCCGGCGCTCAATTGAAACCGGTTTTGAGACGCGGTTAACTTAAATTCATTAAATTCGGACACTGAAATTTTTTTATTGCTGTTGCAGAGGAAAACCTGTAAAGTTGTTCAGAATCTTAAACAGGCATTTTAATTTGAATCGAATATGCTTTGATCAAGATATAGAACCTATCTGGCTAGAGCGTGACAATGCCGTTAAAGACTTCTGTATTTCAAAGAAGGTAATAAATATATAATAAGTTGTTGAATATTAAACACCTACGGTTAAAAGTTAAAGAATGATGCTTATTTGTATTATAGATAGATGTGTTTGAACATATTGGAGCCACCCTTTGGGACCCATTGGAGATAATCGAGGCAAATGGAGGCACTCCACCTCTTACATATGCTCAATTCTGTCATGTGACAAGGGCCATTGATCAACCACCAAGACCAAAGGAAGACATAGATCTTAAAAAAGTTAACTTCTTAGAGCTGTCAGAAACTCTGCTAGAAGAACTGAATTGTTTCCCATCATGTCCTTCTGCTGAAGATCTAGGGTACAAGTGGTCAGGAGAGAAGAAAGTTTTTAAGGTAATTTCAAATTAAAATCCAGCTACTCACACAAATGTTTGTTTCTATGATGACAGAAAAAAGTAATGACTTTTAAACTTAATAAAAAACATATTTCTGTTGAACAAAAACACTAGTTGGTCTTCAAGGATCATAAAAAAATAGATGGTACACGGATCATTTAAAATATTTTTAACTCATTGATGCTGATCAGTTTCTATGTATTTATTACTTAAAGGGATTGTCAAGGTAATTTCCAATGATTCTTCAGTCTGTTTACTTGTACATTACGAATCTTACAAAGCATCAATAAAAATATCATTTTTTAGCTTAGAATTGATCATTTTTGTTTGTGGTTTTTCTCTGAAGTGAAATGAAAGTTTAACAGCAGCCCAGGAAGAAAATTGGCAGAATTTATTTCTTTTGAGAAAGGGAAAAGACAAAATATTCCACATATTTCAATATTCAAAAGAAAGGTTCTTGGAATTGTGACAACGGTCCTTTCATATCAAATTTGTTTGAAGGCACTGAAAAAAAAACTAGAATTATGTACTACATTGCTTGGTTTTAGGGTGGAGAAAGGCTGGCATTAAAATACTTCAATCGTCGTGTGATATCAGAAAAAGAGGCATTCATTGACAGATCATTCCTGCCTAATCGACACAATCCAGATATTCTCTGCCCACCCAAATCCCTCTCTCCTGATCTCAAGTTTGGTTGTCTAAGCATTAAAAAGTTCTACTGGGAAATAATTGATGCTTTTGAAGAGGTAACATCTGTTTGTTCAATAGGCATTGATCAAGAAATAACCCATGTTGATTTAGGTTAACAAAGGCAGTCCCCCAGCATGCTATCTGATCGTCTCTCAACTTATTTGGCGTGAGTTTTTCTACACAATGTCAGCTAACAACCCTTTCTTTGGAGAAATAGAACGAAACCCTGTTTGCATTGATTTTCCTTGGTACAAGGATGATGAGGTGAGTTTTTAAAAAAAAGCACTTGCTTTAAAATAATGATTTTAACTTAAGTGCCTGGTGCTGTCCAATGGAATATCTTTTTATTAGTAAAACAAAAATGCTTTTCTTATTAGACATGTGTGATTGTCAGAATCTTCAATAATCAAGTTTAATAAAAAAATTATTTATAAAAACCAAAATAATTAAAAAGAAACCCAAATTTTTCATGATATTTGTTTCTATAATCTGATTCTGGCCTTTAGGAAAACAGGATAAGGTTTTTTTTAATACCTAAAATTGGGGCCAATTTTCCAGTCTCTTGGATAAATCAATATTTAATTAACAATTTTTTTATCAGGCACTGTCGAAACTTAGTTTGGGTATGACTGGCTATCCATTTATTGATGCTGGTGTCAGACAAATGAGGAAAGAAGGATGGACACATCATATAGTCAGAAATGCCATAAGGTATTAATGATATGACAAAATAAAAGTTTTAAATATAACAAAGCAATTTTGATCAGAACATCAAATTCAAACAAAATTAAAAGCTGATGACTTTTTAAACTATTTTAAAATTTATGATTTTTGATAATCAATCTCCTAGTTTTGGCTTCAGAAAGCTTATCTTTTAATTCATATTAATTCATAAACTTTGAAATCTTAATATCAGCCATTACAGCTCTAATTACAATCAATTGTATTGAAGCATGTTTCTGACGCGTGGAGATCTGTGGTTAAGCTGGGAGCATGGAGTAGAGCTGTTTATGATTCACATGATTGATGCTGATTGGGCAGTTACAGTAGGGAACTGGATGTGGGTTTCAAGTTCTGCTTTTGAAAGGGCCCTCAACTGCAGGTAATTTTCTTAAACTACCTTGATTTTTATTCATCTGTTCAACAGAATATAAACTGTATAATATTTAAAGAAAAATGTTATTATTGTATTGTCTTATTTAAGTTTTTTTTCTTATGTCAAGCTGTATGTCAGATCATTACTTGTAAACCCCTTCAGATTTGCCTCAATTTTAATTGAGGAATTTAGTAGTGCCATAACAATGCTCTCAGCTTAATTTAAAAATAATAAATTCAGTTGCTTGATTTTTTTTACGGGAAAACTTGGTTCCATGCAAAGCTTGGTTAACAAGCTAGTTATTAAATAAAAACTATACAAAATTTCTTTTTTCTTTTTCTTCTTTTTTCAGTTACTGTCTGGATCCTCGCACATATGGCAAAGAGGTGGACCCTGATGGTGCTTACATAAAAAAGTGAGTTTAAAAAGTCTTTAAAGCAGTAGTTTAAATATCTGGGTTCAGTTGGAGGTTTCAAATATCATTACAACATTCTGATCTATATTTTCACAGATATGTTTTCTATAACTTTTAATTATTTTTAAACGAAATCTTTAAACTTCACAAGGCAGGCTAAAAACTAGTTCAAAATAGCCAAAAATAAGTTCATATAGCCTTGCTATACACATTAAGAAGTTAATTCTTTTATTAAGATTTGTCCCTGAGCTGGCAAATTTCCCAGCACAGTACATCTACGCCCCCTGGACAGCACCACTGGAGGAACAAGAAAAGGCATCTTGCATCATTGGCAAGGTCAATTTATTAACTTTTAAAATCTCCCTTTATACGCCACTTAACTTTTCAGCAGTCCTGAACAGTGTAGACTGTAGAGGCAATTTTAAGTGATCCTACACTTAAAAAGTGGAATGCTTAATCCAAACCTGTACCTATTAAACCTTTGCCTGATCAGAGATGAAGGAGATATCCTTCTTTTTCTAGCTGACAATCGGTTATTTTTAATTGCGGCTTAATTCAACAGAGAGATTTGTGAAAAAAACATATTTCAAATTTTAAAAAAAAAACAGCGACATTTTCCTCAAGATTACTCAGAAAGAGGTTTGAAAACATACACCTTTTTTAGGACTACCCTGGCCCAATGATTGATCATGACAAAGCCTCAATCGAAAACAACAAGGAAACATATTTTAATAAAAAATAACTTGATTTGAGATTGATTTTTTTTCTATTTATCTATCAAACAAAAGAAACTCAATTATCTATTCTATTCTTTTTTGTCTCCCACCCCGAATTTACACTCAGCACTAAACTGGGTTAATTCATTAGAACTTAAACGGAATGGAGTTCAAGCCTTAAACCTCAGATTGAAGGATTGACGGTGATTAATATTATTATTATCATTCAGCTTGTGAATATGAAAAATATTGCTGTTAGATGATATTACAACTGCAGAAGAAGGTGCTATCCAAATACAAGAGAGAGCCTGACCATATAAAACCATCAGATGAATCCGAAATAAACACATTTTTCAGAATCTAAATACAGCTGAGGCTTGGGAACTTCATGGATTCCAAATGTAAATATTTATGAATCTTATCTGTTTGTTCGTTGATTGGTACATTCGTAATGGTATCCATAAGTATTGGGAAGGATTAAGGCTATTAAAAATAATAAATGTTGCCTTTGAAAAATAATTAAAATGCCTACAGAAAGTTTATAAAAATCTTTTTTGTAACAAACTTGTTTACCAATGAAGTGGGCTTGAAGTATTCTCTGTCCAGATATTTGTGTGTAATCTATTATTGAGTGAAATGTTACGTAAACAATAAAATATTGATCAACAGTGTTTATATGTTTTTATATCTTCTAACTGTACACAAATATAAAATTAAGAGCTTTGAATAAAAAACTAAATTAATTAAAGGTGTTATTTAAAAAAATTTAAGATACTAGGCTTTTTGGGCGCTCCGCGCCCATCTTCTATTTCAATTGTGAACATGTTGTTATTTTAACATTGAAAAACAAAGAAAAAAAAATTTCGCGGATTTCATAAAAAAATTGCGGATTTACAAGATTTTAATTTTTTTTACAAAATAAAAATCTTTTATGCACAATTATTTTAATTCTTATTTTTCATAAACCTTCCCTGGGGTCTCGCGAGATCCCACAAAAAAATTGGCCCCATCGGTTCAGCCGTTTTGACGTTTATTGGATACAAACAAACAGACAGACAAGCCAAATTTATAAATAGACTAGCCTTAGAGGGCGCTTCGCGCCCATCTTCTAAATTAATTGTGAACATGTTCTCTTTGTGTACATCGTAAAACAAAACAAAAATAATTCGCGGATTTTCACAAAAAATTTCGTGGATTTTCAAAATTTTCAAAAATTTAATGAAGATCGAATTTTGATGGAGACAAATATTTGAAATTTTGATCATAAACCTTCCCTGGGGCTCCGTGAGGTCCCACAAAAAAATTTGGGCCCGATCGGTTCAGCCGTTTTGACGTTTATTGGATACAAACAAACAGACAAACAAACAGACAGACAAGCAAAATTTATATATAGATTGCTGAAATAATTTTAGTTAAAACAATCTTAAATTATATTTTTGTCTGGGTCCCGCATCCACATGTCATTGATCTAATTATATGTCAATTAAAGGGCACTAACCTATAAAGGTTCCAGCAACGTGAGATAAAGGAAGGTAGGAAACCACTGATTCTTGATCATAACCCCAGGAATAGATTCGCTTAAAAATAAGAGAAATTCATCAATAATTTGATTAGATGTTTTACGTTTTACTTAGTTTTAGTTAAAAACCATTTAAATAATTCAAAACCGCGTCATTGAAAAAAGATTTGCTATTTCATCGAGACACTTGAGGGTTAAAGTATTAAACTTTAAATTTCATTTCTTTTTACATTTACGCCCCAGATAAGTTTTTATTTTAAAAAATTTCGACATGCATCCTACAATTTGAATGATGTTCTATGTATTGCAATGTGTATCATTAATACATGCAAAGACCTGTACTAATTTTTACGTTCTTTCACGGAACTTTCAGAACTTAGAATGATTTAAAAACATATATATATCTCTTAGATCTTTCTATTTCTAAAGTTATTGGGCAAACATGAAACAGCCATGAAATACTCGTGAGTCCTTGGCAAAAACAGTATTTGCTAAAAATATACCAATATTTTTTGTTCTCTTATTCCAGTTATCAAAGTTTCTGTTGCCATTATTCTGTTACCAATATTCCTGTTACCAATATTCCCGTCACCAACATTCCTGTTACCAATATTCCTGTTACCAACATTCATGTTACCGATATTCCTAGTACCAATATTCCTGGTACCAATGTTCCTGTTACCAATATTTCTGTTACCAATATTCCTAGTACCAATATTCCTGTTACCAATATTCCTGTTACCAATATTCCTGTTACCAATATTCCTGTTACCAATATTCCTGTTACCAATATTCCTGTTACCAATATTCCTGTTACTAATACTCCTGGTACCAATGTTCCTGTTACCAATATTCCTATTACCAATATTCCTGTTACCAATATTCCTAGTACCAATATTCCTGGTGCCAATATTCCTGTTACCAATATTCCTGTTACCAATATTCCTGTTACCAATATTCCTGTTACCTGAGCCTGTCCAACTGTCCAGGTAATATTGTCTTGAGTTAACATCACAGCCTTAAAATAATAAATCTTTATTTATATATATATTTATTTATTCATTACAAGTCTCTAAAAGTGCAAACATTACCAGTAACCATCCCCCCTCCTCGGCCCGAACTCATTCATAGGTACGTGTTCCAACCCCTTAGCATAGCATATATAAATGGACCAATAAAAATGTATAATCGGAAGACGACATTTAAGAATTTAATGTGTTCATAAGGCAAAAAGCATTAAAATCAATTAATTTGTGAATAGGTCAGTGTACATTATTACAGTGTACACTGTACACTACACGATTGTACACGTATCCCAATTCCTATTGCAATGTTTAATGGGTACGTTTGTGTAGCAACATAATGATTTTTTAAGAATAATGCAAAAATTTTCGTTCCTATTTCGCGAAACAAATTTTCTAGAAATTTCGCATGAAATAATTTCGCGAAAAAAATTTCCGTGGAAACCATAAGGTTTGTAACTGATGCAACAATAAAGTGCTCACAAAAACTTGTGGAACTCTCTGCTCTGAGAGTTCAAGATTAGAAGTTTTCTTAAATCATAATTAATAATTTTTCTTCGTATTTGTTGCAAAATTTTCGCATTTTGTTTTCCCAAAAAAATCGCATTTGTTTCTTCGCGAAACTTTCGTAAAAAATTTTCGCATTTTTTATTTTGCCAAAAAACGAAAATGTTTTCATTTTTCGCGAGCGAACAAAATGTTATTAAATTGCATTCGGCAAAAAAAATTTTTTGAAAAATTTAAAATTTTCCACGCGATACGATTATCCCTTTTTGCTGGAAACCCTAGGTGTGAGGACGAATTCTCGAACAAACAAGCAAACATGCAGTCAACCATAATCTGGCCTAATTCTCCTTTAAAAATAATCGTGATTACGATCATTAATTTACAAGTTAGTTATGACACAAGTCTAAGTAGTGTTCCCAACATGTCCGAGTACAAGCAAATGAACGCGAAAATATCCTATTTACAAAAATCGAAAATTGTTTTCTTTAAACCTTGGGGTTGCCAGTAGTCCCAGATGTATAGATGAGGGTGCAAGCCTGGTTCACTGCCTGTTGTTCAAGCCGCTCCTAATAATTATATAATAAGAGGTTAAAGTAAATGGTAGATTTTTACTGGGGGGGGGGGGGCGGCAATGGGTGTATTGTAAATGATTAACCGAACTTTTTATTAATTATTTTTTATTTAATATTATAAAATATCAAGAATTAAATATAAATTATCATCATTAAAACCATATTTTGAGAGGAAAGAGTCAAAGGTCTGATTTAATGAACAGGAAGACGTAGTTGAACTCAGTATTACTGATTGAACTATATCAATACTTTTAGGCTAAAAGATTGACTGTATTCGAATATAGATCAATAAATCTTTTTTATTTTAAGGTAATGCTTTTGTCAAGAAAATTGAGTTTTACACAACGTATCAAAAGATATAATCATACAAACCTGATGGTATCCAATAATAATCAACTTAATGTTATCAATTAATTTTTGAGCCTTTTTTAACATTTAAAGAGATAAGTGAGAAAAGAATCTCGATCAAAAAACTGTGAAACATAGGCATAAAGTATTACTATCGAATTATTAGGTATCGAGGGAATTTACGTAACTAAATTGAGAAATAAGGCGGTAACAATAAGTATAAATAATTTACCGTAAATATCGAGGTTTTTTTAACCACTCATAAAGGGTGGAAATGGGTAAAAAATAAGCAATTAGAAATATTAATGAATTACCATGAGTAAAGAGTCTGGTAACTCCCGTCCTATTTCTAAAAGTTTCTGCCAAGAAATCACTCCAGGGGATTTCGGGTAACCTAACCAATAACCATTCGTCAGACGTAAAGGATTAGAAAACTAAAGGTAAAAGATTAAGTTAGGTTTAATTAATGAAAACTAGTCACTTTCTTCTAGACGCCCCACCCATCCTAATATTGTTAGGCAGTCTCGAGTAATAATTATATTCCAGGTTCCAAGTTAGATTAAGATAAATAGATATTAGATAGTCTCGCGAAGTTGTCAAAAAAATCAGGAGGGGTGTGTGGTCAACAACTTAAAGAAAAACGTCTGCGTATTAAAATGTAAACAACTAGCTAAAGTTTCCGGCATTGCCCGTGGAATTTTAAACACTTTAAAAAATTCTAATCGAAAACATTGAATTTTTTAGACCGAAGTAAAACCCAGGGTACCCAGGGGTTCCATCAAAAAATGTCCGTCAATTTGGTTCAGCATTTTGAACAGCTTTAGCGAAAAGCTTAATTAAATAAATGATGAAGGTTTCCTGTGTACTGGATCACAGCCTGGAGTTCAGGTAATCTGTCGTAAACAGCCTCAATCTATAAAAGGTAATCTATAACACATATATAGGCTAGCTCTTCGAAATTGGTCACAAAATTGGTTTTGAATCTATTCTCCGTTCATACTTCTTGTCAACGTTAACTACAAAAGTGTTTGTAATGGTATAATAATTAAAAAATCTAAAAAATCAACTAAAATGAGAAATCAACTAGAACAAGAAATAAACTAAAAAAGAAAATAAACTAAAATAAGAAATAAACTAAAATAAGAATCAACTAAAACAGGAAATCAACTAAAACAAGAAATAAAATATTCTGAGGTAAACCAAAAGAAAACATCGAGTACAAAGTATAAATAGTTTACATGAGGGATTCAAGTAAAAAACATTCTGTTTCAAGGAAAATAAGACTGCCCCCTCTGTTTGAACTGCTCGTCGTCTTCCACAACCATAATATTGGCTCTACTGTGCTCAGCAACATATCTAGTAGCGTCTACGCTATTCGTCGTGTAGATACCTTTTCAAAAAACAACAAATTTTAGCAATAACGCTGTTCGTCGAGTAGATACCTATTCAAAAAACAACAAATTTTAGCAATAACGCTATTTGTCGTGTAGATGCCTATTCAAAAAAAAAAAAAATTAGCAATAACGCTGTTCGTCGTGTAGATACCTATTCAAAAAACAAAAAAAAATTTTAGCAATAATGCTGTTCGTCGTGTAGATACCTATTCAAAAAAAAATCAAAAAAAATCAGCAAGAGTTTAAAACGAAATAAGTTTATAGATACATGCAAAGATTAACAAATCAATCGAATCAATCAAGACATTAATCAATTAACCAATAAGTTTAAATATGAAGTAATCAATTTATCAACAAACAATTTTGTGAAGACAAAAAATTCTAAAACCCTAAATAAATTTCCAACATTTCCAAAATACAGGGGAAATTTATTTCAGTGTTACGATGAGATTAAATGTTGTTGAATTGTAGTAGAAATTTATATTCCTGAAACTCTTTTAAACCAACCACACCAAGTCTTATCGTAACACTTAAAAAATGGCGAGTATAGAAATTTCAAATAAGAGAAAGATAGATCACTTCACAAGTATACCATTCAAATTCAATCAATCAAAATATATCAATCGATCGATCAATCAAAATCACTCAATCAATCATGAATAAAAAAAAAATAAAAAAATCAAGAATTTAACCAATCTAGCTGTTTCTAACAAACTAGCCTTAGAGGGCGCTTCGCGCCCATATTCTAAATTAATTGTGAACATGCTCTCTTTGTGTACATCGTAAAACAAAACAATAATAATTCGCGGATTTTCACAAAAAAATGTCGTGGATTTTCAAAATTTTCAATAATCTAATGAAAATCGAATTTTGATGGAGACAAATATTTAAAATTTCAATCATTCATAAACCTTCCCTGGGGTCCCTAGATGTCCCACAAAAAATTTGGGTCCGATCGGTTCAGCCGTTTTGACGTTTATTGGATACAAACAGACAGACAGACAGACAGACAGACAGACAAACAGACAGACAAGCCAAATTTATATATAGATTTACCTGAAGTAAGTCCGCCAGCAAAAATACAAGCCGCAGCGCTAAAAATAATAACAGCATGTTAAGTTTACAAAAATACAAATCAACCCAAATGTTAAGAAAATTCTTTTTTTCATTGTATATTTTCAGAACCTTTGCAAACTCCTATTTTCCTTCAAAATTTACCCAAGAGTTCATCCAAAAAATCTGCGAACACCTCCGCCGGTCATTTTCGAATATTTTTTAAATAATAAAATTTTTTTAGAATGTAAAATTTGTTAAAATTTTTATCGAGTCCACATTTGGATTGGAGTGCTTTGAATTGTTAGGACGGGTCCAAGATCAGGATTCATTCTTAATTTGGGAAAAAATATTTTTCTGCACGAAACCACGGATGATGGTTTCCCTCCGAATATTTGAATGTGACTAGAAGTAAGCCACAATTCATAACGATACCATTTAAACCTTTGTCCTGACAAAGATGATGTAGATACGCTCATTTGTATAGTTGAAGAGAAGTTACAGTGTATACTGTATATTCACTGTACACTGCGTGCTATTGTACAATGTACACTAACACGGTTTTTTGACTCTTAATTTTCCGCAATATAAATGAATATATTTACAAAATCCTTGATCAAACAAAGGTTTTAAGGATATCGTTGTAAATAGAACATGCCACTCTATTAATGAAAGGTCACTATAAATAATTTTGAGATTGACTAGGCAACGAATGAAACTCTCCCTGTACCTGATATGCCACTCAGGAGCATTGAATCCAAGAATTCCAACTCCATGGAACCTTTTTAATCCAAGCTTTATAAATGCTTTAGCTACGCTCTTACAGTCGTCCTTAATTAAATAAACATTTGTCAATATTTTGATTAATTAATCAATAATCATCTTTATATGCAATAAAAATAATTTCCATTACTACGTAGTTTTTCATTTTTAAGACTTTTTTGGTATTATAATCTAAACATCATACAATTCAAATAGAAATACAAAGGTTAATCCACTTCCCAGTTTCCCATCTCTACCTGATATTCTGTGTATATCAACTTGACCCACTCCCTATCACTACCTGATATTCTGTGTATATCCACTTGATCCACTCCCCATCTCTACCTGATATTCTGTGTATATCCACTTGATCCACTCCCCATCTCTACCTAATATTCTGTGTATATCCACTTGACCCACTCCCCATCTCTACCTAATATTCTGTGTAGTTCTACTTAACCCACTCCCCATCTCTACCTGATATTCTGTGTATATCCACTTGATCCACTCCCCATCACTTCCTAATATTCTGTGTATATCCACTTGATCCACTCCCCATCTCTACCTGATATTCTGTGTATATCCACTTGATCCACTCCCCATCACTACCTGATATTCTGTGTATATCCACTTGATCCACTCCCCATCTCTACCTGATATTCTGTGTATATCCACTTGATCCACTCCCCATCACTACCTAATATTCTGTGTATATCCACTTGATCCACTCCCCATCTTTACCTGATATTCTGTGTAGGTCTACTTAACCCACTCCCCATCACTATCTGGTATTCTGTGTTGGTCCACTTGACCCACTCCCCATCTTTAAATGGTATTCTGTGTAGGTCCACTTGACCCACTCCCCATCTTTTAATGGTATTCTGTGTAGGTCCAGTTGACCCACTCCCCATCATTACCTGGTATTCTGTGTAGGTCCACTTGACCCACTCCCCATCTCGCTTGACCGCAAGTGCAGTCCTATCAGGTACACGCTTAACAGTATTATCCAACATTGTCCAAACCTGAACATAATGAAAAATTATTTTTTACAGTGGTAGATAGTCAGAATAGGTTTCTTCCCGATTCTAAAATTCATTAATCATTTTTGGGGACCATGTAGTAATTAGATAGATCTGGTTTCGTACAGTCAAACCTCAAAGAGTTATAATTGTAGTAGGGTTGTTCATATCACTTAAAACCAAAATCAAAAATAATTTCAAAACTATCCAGGAAAAACTTTGGATTACAAAAAAAAAGATAAAAAAGAACAAAAATCAGAATCTTCGAAAGAGTTAACGAAGCATTCTCATCCGGTTTACTCGGATCTCCTTACCGATATCGGAGGTTTCCTACAATCCGGATCCAGATCGCTAAACCGGATTTCAACAGCATCAGCCGGCATAGTTCCCCAGTGTTTATTGGAGGGTAGAATACGGTCAGGTCCAACCCGAGGCCCACTAAATTGTAAAAAAAAAACTTGAGAATAACGACAATAAAGTTGAAAAAAGAATAAAGAAATCTACATAAGATACAGAAAAAAAATACAATGTAGAAAAATACTGGAAATAAATAGATAAAATAAATTATAAGAAATTTGAGGAGGGGGGCGTGGAAACAAAAATACAAACAAACCTACAATGGAAAAACAACAAAATACAAAGCAAAAGTTTAAAATTGCTAACTTAGAATTTTCATTACATATTTAAAAATAACTTTTTTTTAATTTGCTTTCCAAGGATCATTGATAGTGTTTTTCTTAATCTGAATATCCGGGGATAAGTAGTAGGATCCGGATCTAAGTAGTAGAATCCGGATCTATGAAGTAGGACACGGATCCACAGTTAAATGATGGGTGTTAAGTCAGAGATACTTATTTTCAAAGATTAACCTCACCCCTCTGACCCCACCCCTTAAAAAATTGAGTGTCCCCACCCCCTGAAAATTTGAACCCCCCCCCCCCCATATAAATTAACAGCGACTGGAAAATATCCTCTTTTATGAAACTTTTAACTTTAAAAATCATTTTATTTTCCATAAAATAATTTATTATCCAAATTTTAGCAAATTTATTTCTGTGCATTCCTAATATTCTTGGGTAAAATAAGATTTCTGAATCTGAAGAGGTTGGGGAATGATTTTTCAAGAAAATATCTCTGTCCTGTTAGCACCAAAAAATTGTTGTGGATAAGTATCTAGTGGTTACCCAAAGTAGATGGCTGGGGAGTGGTCGCGAGCCGTTGGGGTGTGTAGGTTTGAGATTTTATCGAAATTAATTTTTATAGTAATCTTACCGCGTCGAATAGTACTGGGCCAGAGCATTCCGCTTAAGTACAAAACCACCCTAAATATTAGATATTTAAAAATCTACAAAATGCAAAATAAAGGTTTTGTTAAAACAGTAAACGTTGATGAGGACTTGATATTAAGATTTTCTTCGACTTTGATAAAAGAAATCTATGAATGAAGTAAATAATGTATTCATAAAAACTTTGTTTTTCATGATTTTGAATCTATCATTTCTGTTTAATGTTGCGACAATTATAATTTATAAAATAAAAGCTCTTCGCTCATATAAATATATTTGTGCGTATGAATTATGTGCTAAAGCTGCCCAAACGGATCGGCCGAATTGGCTAAAATGTTTTGAGGAAACTCATGGATACCCTGGAGGTAACACTAGGGAGGGAACCCCCGGACGCCATGAGCCTCTGCTATGCAGACATCGAGCCTCCCAGACTCGCTAGTCAGACCGAGCCTCCACTATGCAGACAAAGACTACGCTATGCAGACCGTGCCTCCGCTATGCAGTAAACAAGCCTCCACCATACAGCACAGCTTTTTTTAAATCTTGGTTTTTATAAGTGATGAAAACTTTTAACAATCTTTTTTGACGTAGTGGAATAAGAATTTTACTAAAGATTAGAGTTGTTCATTGATTGTCATGATTAGAAACATATATAAACTCATAAAGTGGTTTAAAGGATTTATATTAAAACTTTAAACATTTCTTACGCAGAAAGGAAGATATTTGGAGAAATATTTCTGGAGTAAACTTGGTTTGTTTTGTTGTAATCTTTGATTTAAACAATACCTTTTTTTAAAAAATGTTAAGATTTAAATAATAAATATAAATTTTTTATATTTAATTTGAACTTCAAAAAAAGGTATCGCTAAAATCAAAGATTATAAAAGATGAAATAAAATTCAATTCAAATTTTTTTTCTAAATATTTTTCTTTTCCTGTAAAAAATGTTTAAAGTTTTAGATACCACTTGATTAGTAATAATTGGGCACTATTTATGATAATTAAAAAATACTTCTCATCTTTGAGAAGGCTCTCATGCCACTATGTCTAAAAATTTCAAAAAATTCTTTTATTTAAACTTAAAACACAAGTTTAAAAAACCTCCTGTATTGCACAGGCACATTTTGATGTGCTGCGCATGCTCATTTCTGCAAAGCGGAGGCTTGGTCTGCCTAGCAACTCTGGGAGGCTCGTGTCTGCATAGCGTTCGGGGGTTCCCTCCTTAGTGTTACCTCCAGGGTATCCCTCCCACAGGCTAAAAATAAATCTATTTTGAAACAACAATCGAGTTTTTTTAGATCAAGTTTTATTTTCATTTGATTGTTTTTATTCCCCAAGCAACGCCGATGCTTCAGCTAGTATTGCATAAAACACTGCCATAAAATTAAACTACAAATATCTTCGGCTTCAGAGGACTGGACATGTCGCAACATTCAGCTTTACTAAATTGAAATTAATTTTAAAAAACTACAAAAAAATATATAAATCTTATAAGAGATACTTACCCCTCGAAGAACGGACAAGCTCCAAACAACCATTTTCCTTTGCTTTGTTTAATGTAAAATTATGCTTCCTTTTGTGTGATCCCAAAAAAACGTTATGAATTAATATGGGTTCATTGTTTAGATAATTAGTAATCTGAAAATAAAAATCTAAAAATAATTAAGCGAAACAAATTACTAAGAAATTTTACACCTGAAGCTTTTCCTGTATCATAATGATAATGTCAAATCACAAATAGGAGGGGGGGCCTGGGGGGGTCCAAAAATCGTATACTAGAAAATTACCGAAACTTCTGTAATAACATGAAATTTGAATCTTAACATGTATATTAATATGCGACATGCGACTACGTAAAGCGCAATCTATGACATATAGTCTTAAAAATACATCAAACTAGTTTCGATAAATATTTAAAATAATATGATCTTGCATGCCTGCATATTAACATGTAATTTGTTAGCGTACTTGTAAATATACTTTAAATAAAAGACACGTTCTTTAATTTCGTCTCTTTATACTGCGGTTAAAAAAATCCTGAAATTCCAGATTTTTGCAAAGTTCGACTGTTCGCGTCAAAACTCAAAATGATTGCGAACAGATGATTTCTTGCTGAACTCAGCTGATCGTGACTTTCACCCAAGCCATGCCGCGCCAAAACAATCCGTATTTTGCGGACCGGTACACAATTTTTCTTTCTGCCTGCGAGACAGGAGACTCCGAATCTGTCGAACCGAGCCAAATTAAATGAGTTTGTTTACAAGTCCCCGATTCACCCGATAAGGTAAACTGAGATAATTAACTGACTCTGAGATCGAGATTCGAGGAACCACAGAACAGGTACCTGCGACTGCGAGACGGATTCCAGGTTCAGGTTTTCGATGCCTTGAGCCTTGATCAGGCAAAACTAAGGTTTGAAAAGGTGTTCGTGTTGGGGGGAGGGGGGGTGATCGTATGTACAGGGTATAGGATATCATTTCATTGGGGAAAAGGCGCGTTATATTATAATCATGATAAACCCCTGGGAACGAACTTATCCAATATTGCTTATAGTCATCTATAGTTTCACAATTACTGAGTTATATGATCATAGTAACAATTTTGCGGAAAATCCGCGGAAAATGCCCAGGAATCTTTCTTGGGAATCCGCGGAAATTCCCAGGAATCGTTCACAGGAAATTCCGGTTAAAATGTCGACAGCTTTTCCGAGGAATTTCTCGTAACTCATTCCGAGGAACCTTAGGAATTTCTTGTAACCCATTCCGAGGAAATTCTCATAACTCTATCCAAGGAATTTCTTGATCACCAATTCCAGGGAATTTCTTGTTACCAATACTGCAGAAAATGTCGACAAAATTTGTGGAAATTCTTGGGAATATCCAGTGAAAAGTTCTTCAGAACCCATCCCTGGGAATTTCCTCGGAACTATTCCCAAGATTTTCTCAAGAGTTCCTCAGGAATATCTTGAAATATTCTCAGCATATTCCTGAGTAAATTCACTAACCAGGACTTAGGCCCAATAGTAGTGAATAACTAAACAACTGAATTGCCCCTTCAACTTTTTAAAAGTATAACCATCTTCATAAGTCATAATGTTATAGTCGTTTTTGCTCAATTACTTAAGTTGTCATGTACTTTGTTTATTCAGACAACAGAATTGTGAAGAAAAAATGAGATGGTGATGTGATGTGAAGATGGTTCTAAAGCAAATTATCATTTTTTATCAATAAGGATGCAAAGAAAAAAGATTTAGTTAGGGCAGTGCATAACAGAAGAGAACCTCAGAGACACCTATTGGAGAAAAACTGAACTTGAAAATTCTGTGAAAAGTCCTGAGAATTTCTCAGGAATTTCCGGAGAATTATTCCTGAGAAATTCTTAGGAATTTCTTGAGAGAAATTCCAGAGAAATTATCGAAACTTATTCTCTTATTTAATTCCCCTAAAATTCCTTAAACTTGGTGACCAAGTCCTAAGAATTTCTCAGGAATTTCCGGGGAAGCATTCAGGGGAATTTTTCAGGAATTTCTTGGGGTGAAATTCCGGTGAAATTCCCGGGAATTTTTCGAAACTAATACTTTAATTAAATTCCCCTCAAAATCGGTAAACATGGTGACCAAGTCCTAAGAATTTCTCAGGAATTTCCGGAGAATTAATCAGGAGAAATTCTCAGGATTTTCTTAGGGTTAAATTCCAGAGAAATTCCCAGGAATTTATCAAAACTAGTTCTCTTAACAAATTCCCCTAAAAATCTGTAAACATGGTGACCAAGTCCCAAGAATTTCTCAGGAATTTCCGGAGAAATTCTGAGGAATTTTGTGGGGAAAAATTACTGGGAATTTCTCCGGAATTTCTCGAAACTGAGTCTCAAAACTGTGATCCCACAAAAATCTCTCATCTTAGGGACCAATTCTGGGGAATTTCTCGAGAATTTCCGAGGAATCAGTTACAGGAAAGGATTCTCGAGATATTCCTCGGAAATTCTTCAAAAAAAAGTCACACGGTTGGAGAATCTGGGGTAATTCCTCACTTTTGTTCCTTGGGGAGGGGCTCCAAGATCCCCCCCCCCCGGAAAAAAATTCTTAAACTTATAATTTAGGGCGGTTTTTAAAGATTTTACATTTTACACTTGTTGTTAAACGCATTTAACAATTTTTGTGACGACAAAAAATTCTGACTTGTAAATTTTTATAATTTGGAATTGTTCTGAGATGAAAACCAATTGTTAATCCGTTCAATGTGTCAAAATAAAAAAAAACATATTAGCGATTCCTCCAGCCCCGTGAATAAGGAAGCCGAATAATGAATATTTTTTAATTCAGGGTTTCCAATTGTGGATGCTACATATAATGCTATATCGTTTGCACTAATGTCCGATTGTGGAAACATGACAGTGGCAAGTCGACTTATAAATGTTTTTAAATAATTTTCTACATTTTTTGTCAACCTAATTTTAGAAGTATAACATTCTAGAGTTAGCAATTACTTAATACCCCTAGTCCTTGCATTTCCAAAATGTGGTCTGCCTTCTTTGTGCTTTCAATAATCCCTAGATATGAAGAATTTAGTTCATATTTCGACAATTTAAGGGTTTGTTTAAAAAATTGAAATACGAACGAATTTCAATATCTCGGTTTAATATTGAAAGCACAATAGAGGCAGACAACATTTTAGAAATGTGAGGACTAGAAGAATTTAGTGTTTATTGTTTTAAGAATCATACAGTGAAAACCAGAAAACTCTGGAATAGGAAGACGACTTTTAAACTTAAATTATGACTTTAGATAGTCCAATAAGCAAGGGAAAAAGAAATTTTTAAGTGTAAACAGGCCCATTTCACTTGATTTGTGATTTAAAAAGTGACCAGTAAAATTATTGCTTTATAGCAACACCAAATTCACTTACGTATTGCTATAAAGTCGTCTTACTATTTCGGAGTTTTCTGGTTATGGCTACGTACATAATAAGATATGTTGACCACTGAAAGGTCTGCAAATGAATGATATAAGACGACTTAGAAGTCGTCTGGCAGCTATTGATATGTTTCGCGGGACACCCTGTCAAACTTCAATTCATATAAAGGTAATTATTGGTACGTGGTCGTTTTATTTCCGCGTTCTTTTTTACCATAGATTTTCAACATAGATTAAAAAGAGGCCACCCATGGGCATAAAATAAAAAATTGATAACTCTTAAATTTTAAAACCATTCTTACAAGTTACCCAAGAAAATTTTATCTAAAACTTTTATAGTGTGCAAGATAATCCTGTAGCATTTAAATCAGTAATGTGTGCGATGTTGTAAAATAAGCAGGGTCACTCTCGATACGCTCCAATGTACGGAAAATGTCGTCTCCAAAGAAAGATACACAAAAACCTCATACGACGTCAATGATTATAGAGGCGACAGTGACGTCATATGAGGTTTTATCTATCTATCTTAGGAGACGACATTTCCCGTACATTGGAGCGCATCGAGCGTACAACCAACCTAATCATACAACCTTAAATGCATGTGTCTCATCACTATAAACCTCCTTGGAAGGGGCCAGGAAGGGTGTACTGTATCGTTTTGCCTTATATAGTCTTTATATGTATTGTGTACGATGTTTGCAGCTTGCTCATGGTGCTTTGCTTAAAAGTTGGTAGGGTACTTAAAATGAACCTGAGTAGTTCTTCATATAAAAAGGAGTTTTCAACGTTTAGTTACAAACAGCAAAATTATCTCTCTACATATATTTATGATTGTAAGTGGTCCAGGTCAACGTTGTGAATTGTTGATGGCTCTTTTAAAAACACCTTCAATTCTCGTATTTTTTCTGTCACCCTGTTACTTGTCTGTTGGTTCTGGTTGGATTGCTAGATTGCATCACGAGATCAACCCTTTTATTTAAAATAAATTTAAAATTACAAAAATCTTGATTATATGTTTTTTAAACGGAGAAGGGAATTGGGGGGGGGGGGCTTTAATTTTTGTTAAATTAGTTCCTGAAATTTTATCTATGTGAATTACAGTTTAGAAATTTATTTTCAAAAATATTTTGTTGAACACCTTCTTCTAAGAAGTTCAAAGTACTTTAATTCAGATTTGAAAAAAAACTGCAGTAGTTTCCATGTCATCTTACTCTTCGGTGATTTTAGCAGTAAATCAGGATGCACACCGTCTCCTTAGTTTCTTATATTCAAAGTTTTACATCTGTTTTAAATAATGAATTCCGCGCGCTTGTTGTCTCATTCCTAATTGTAACTTTTTAGGGTTTGCTCTTCTTTATTTATTAAACAAAGACTTTAATGGTTTATGTTTTTTCCCAGGTAACAAGTTCGGAGAAAATAAAATCCACTATAATTTCAAGGAATCTTTCACGGGAAAATCCGGTGAAAATGTCAACAGAAATTGGAGATTTTCTCGAGAATTTCCGGAGAAAGATTCTCCATTGAGAAATTTATGTGATGAACACTGTACAATGGCAGGGGTTTGGCCGGGGCTGGAGATTTTGTTTTGATTATTTCCCGGGAATATATCAGATCCAATTCTGTGGAATTTCTCATAACCCACTCCAATGAATTTCTCGTAACCCTTTCCAAGGAATTTCTCAAAACCCATTCTGAGAAATTTCTTGTAACCATTTCCAGGGAATTTCTATGTTACCAATTCTGGAGAATAACCAGAGAAAATGTCAACCAAAATTGGGGTAATTCTTGGGAATGTTCAGAGAAATATTCTTCAGAATTTCCTGGGAACTATTCCCAAGATTTTCTCAAGAGTTCCTAGGAATATCTTGAGATATTCTTAGCATATTCTTGAGTAAATTCACTAACCTGGTCTTAGATCCAACTTACATCTTAACAACTATCCATATTGCCATACCATCTTTTTAGAAGTATAACTTCTTAAGTGAGAATGGTATAACTGTTATTGATCCTACCAAAGTTGTCATGTATTTTTTTTCATGCAACTGAATTGTCAAGAACAAATAAAAAATTGAATAATTTTTCCAACATTTTTTTTAAATGATGGTTTTAAAGTCAATTATAATTATTCATCAATAAGTATGCAAAGAAAAAGATTTAGTTAGGGCAGTGCATAATAGAAGGAAACCTCAGAGACACCTATTGGAGAAAAACAGAACTTCAAAATTCTGTGAAGTGATATTGAAGTCCAGAGAAATTTTTAGGAATTTCCCTAAACTAAGTCTCAAAACTCCAATCCTAAAATAAGTATTCAAAGAAAAAAATTTAGTTAGGGCAGTGCATAATAGAAGGGAACCTCAGAGACACCTATTGGAGAACAACAGAACTTCAAAATTCTGTTAAGTGATATTGAAGTCCAGAGAAATTTTCAGGAATTTCCCTAAACTAAGTCTCAAACTCCAATCCTAAAAAAATCTCTCGAATCGGGGACCAATTCCGGAGAATTTCTGGAGATTTTCTGAGGATTCAGTCACAAGAACTTGTTCTCGAGAAATTCCCCGGAAATTTTTCAAAGCAATTCACCAAAACTGGAGAACTTGGGGAAATTATTCACTTTTGTTACTTGGGTAAAAGCTAACCATAGTTTTGAATTATAGATCCCTCTAATGTTTGATAAATGGTCACTTTAACCTTTAAGACAAGGTCTACTTTGAAGTGTCGCAACGCCTGGGCTTTGATTTTTATCGCTCTAACTCACAAATGTTTTTCTGTAGCCCTTTACATTTACATTTTAAAACTATAATGCACTTGTTGATAGGTTTGGTTTTTAAGAAGTAATTGGCAAAATTCTGAAAAATCATCCAATTTCCACTCATTAAAAATTGTTTGCATTATAAAGATTATCGCAAACAAAAGTTTAATTACCACAAATATGACATAACCATAAATTGATCTTTTTCCCATCTAAAACACAAAGATCGATTCATGTTTTTTAAAGAAAAAAAGAAAATCTTATATTAAATTAAATCAGCTTTTTAGTACTTGTCTAATGTTGTGATTTTGTATCCAACCCTGTTTAATATTGTGGGACTGTCAGTTTTAAAGTTTGATTTAGGTTTATTCAGTTAGAACTATATATACAGATATAAATCTTATTTCTTTGCTTCTATGCTCCACATAAATTCTACAAATAGTATATACTTAACATTTCATTTGTATTATAATACAGACAGTACCACAGAACATGGAAGTTGAGATCCACGACTTTTGGACTTTACAAGATCACATGTTAGTAAATAAATTTAAACAAAGATTTAAAATTTTTTTTCGTCTGGCAGATGAGAATGGAATCGCCAGCTGAAGACGTGAAAAAAGAACATTTAGGTTAAACTTTCTTTATTTTTTAGAACAGAAAAAGTCTGATTCTTTTGTCCTTTTTTCCCCTGCAGCAGGTTTTGCTGCGCGCAGCTAAAACTAGCGACTAAATGAAGTTTGGAATAGAACTAATTCTTTTTATTATTTTAAAAAAAAAATTTTTTTTTAATTTTACATTGAACTTTCGTTAAACGTTTTTGATAATAAAAATAATAATAATATTTATTTCGGGCAAAGTACAATATCACAAATTTATATGATTGAATAAAGGTGTCAACTGTCAACTGTCAACACATAATTTATGCTTGTCGTTGTTTTAAGAGAGTGACTGGCAATGCATGGTAGGTAAACTGAGTATGTAGTATTGTGGAGAATTTTTTTAAGGATTCATTTGAGACATATAAAACGCTTTAATAATGCATAATTAGAGTCACGTTGGGTGGTTACGTTTTGAGAGTTGATTTTTTAAAATTATTAAATACGGATGACAAAAATGTATCAAAATTCTTCTAATTAGAAGTAATTATGAAGATTTTGATACATATTTCTGATTATTAATCTCTTGTTTATGTATGGTCTGACTAAGCGTTCCAGCATTTCATTAAAAAATAAGAGTCATTGCTAAGGGGGGTTTGAAAATTCTGAGGATATCCATTGTCAGAATTCCGCCTTAAATAGGACAAATTGGATAAGAAAGGTTAGGCTAAGAATGGATATTTTCGACAAAAGAATTCTAATTCTTGTAAGTTCATCATGGACACAGTGGTTCAGAATATGGCCATGTCTACAGCAATATTTCCTTGCAGCCGGCAGAATATAAACCGGTATCATAGTGCATGGTGCATGGTGTTCTTACTTCAAATTATTGGCATGATAGGCTCATTTTCAAATATATGAAAACTCCCTTTTATACCTTTTTGTTTAGTTTACCATACATACGAGCACTATGTTCCGAACCAGGACTATTTAGGAACAGGTGAATATTCTGGAAATATCAAAATATTCTTAATTTGACCCACGCACATCAACTAAATTTCAGTTTTAGAAGAATCTGAACCTCCTGGAGTTGAACTGTTATTCAACTTTGCTGCTTTTAATAGGTAAAATCAAAACATTATGCAAATGTATACAATAAAAAGTATTTGATAACTACTTGCAGTATTGTTATATGATTTGTTTCCAGTAAAGATTTGCCATAGTGTGCCTATATATAAGGTTTCCAGTGAAAAAGAAAAATCGTTTCACGAAAATTTCGCATTTTTCGCAAAAAAAATATATTTTCGCATTTCGTTCGCTCGCAAAAAATGCAAGAACTTTCGTTTTTTTCGCAAAATTTCGCAAAAAAACTAATGCGAAAGTTGGCGAAAAAATTATGCGAAAATTCCGCAAAAAAATAATGCAAAAAATTCGCGAAAAAAATAATGAGAAAATTTCGCGAAAAAATATTGCGAAAATAGAACGTATGTATTGTGGACGGACAGGCAGAAACTTAAAAAGATAGCTAATGAAATCAAATTCTCTTCATCAAACATTTATTCTCATGGTTTTCACAAAATTTTCGCATCTTGCGAAAATATTTTTGCATTTTCGCGAAATTTTACTTTGTTTTCGCTTTATTTATTTTTGCTGGAAACCCTAAGTGTGCCCCAAAATAAGCATGAAGTTATAATTATTTTTTAGAATTTGCTTTTTTTGATGTCATAAGATTTACGGCCAAAACTAGACACAAATCTGATTTAAATTGAATTTAAGGGTTCGACTCGTTTCCACTTTTTTAGGCCAATAAAAGATGAAAGAATCAGATTATCTTTTTAAAGTTATTTAGAATTAATTTAGAAAAGAGTTTCGAGATAATTAGGAAATTAGACACATTCAGTTACCATGCAGTAACTAAAAGCTATTATAATAATTAATGTTCATAGCAACAATACAATACTTTTTCGGTAATTTTCATGACATTTTGAAATTGATATTTTTCCATAAAGTATAAAACATTGAATTTACATTTTTAGATTTGAAATATATTTCCAAATTCTGGTTTTTATCCTGCTTCTCATTTCCATATATGGGTAGGTAACATTATATTCCTATCCTTTTTTCATTTGTTAAAAAACAGATAATTTTCTCAATAAACAATATTTTGAACTTAAAAAAAAACAAAAATATAAGGGAAATCATTTCTATTTTTTAATTTTTTAGTAGTTAAAATAATATCTAAATTTTTAAAGACATATTCTTTGGAGAAAAAAAAACAATGGTTGAGACACAGGTCTTTGCAGTTTAGAATAAGAAATAAAGAAAAGTATTTTTAAATTTAAATTTGATGCCTAAAACAATTGAAAACACAAATATTTTACAATAGTATTTTTGTTTCAATTACAAAAATACAAAATTACAAAAAAAAATTTAAAACTATTTTGGCTTTTTGTTAATAATCAACTATAAAAATTACATATTTTTTTATAACCTTTTTGTTTTTAAACCTCTGTAAAAACGGTTCTCTTTAAAAGGAGTGACCGGCATGATGGTTGAAATGAATATGTGGTATTGTGGACAAATTTTTTAGAATTCATTTGAGTCATATAAAATGTTTCTACGACGTATATTTACTAAGTTTAAATCTAGAGCCATTTTTTAAAGAATTACAGAAACCGTCGCAAAGGATGAGACTGAAAAAACGACCTAAAACTCTTAAAATATGACGACCCCATGGTCTCATCCTTTGTGGGTAACCCTGTATAGTGTATTTACCAATACCAAGACAATTTTTTATTTCAATTTTGATTTCTTTCAATCTTTCAAACATCAGAGACTCCTAAACATGTAAACAAAGAGAAGTTGTCAATCAACAGCTTGGTACCAGTACAAACGTCGAACCCACAAACGTCGGACCCACAAACGTCGGACGGTACAAACATAAGACTTACTAACGTCGGACAGTACAAACGTTGGACCAGTACAAACGTCGGACCAGTACAAACATCGGACCAGTACAAACGTCAGACTGGTACAAACGTCGGACGGGTACATTTATAAGAAAAAACGTCGGACTAAGGATGAACAAATATATTTGAATTTTCAGATTAAAATTCTTGTAAATTCGCAATTTTCTCTAAAAAAAAATTCCAATTTGTTTTGTTAAAAATTCATAATCTCACAAAGTCTGGATACATGGACGAGGAGACTGCTAACTATATTGAGGGGGGGACGGCACCTGCTTGATTCAAATCAGTTTGAATATAGGGGTACAAAGAAAAAACCCAACAAAGTTACAAAACCTATTACCAATGCATTCATAGGAAAAACAATTCTTGTGCTGCAGGAGCAGTTGTAAACAATGAGAATGACAAGACAAGTAGTTTATGAAAGCTCTGGAAATATAGCAATAAGTCCACGAACTGTTCTTGGAAACATCTACAACATCGGGTTGCAAAGATATAGGGATTAAACTGTATAATCTTGTAGAATTCATAGTTTGAAATTGTTAAAACAATGGTCCATCCAAAATCTACCAAGTCCGACGTTTTTTCTTATAAATGTACCCGTCCGACGTTTGTACTGGTCCGACGTTTGTACTAGTCCGACGTTTGTACTGGTCCGACGTTTGTACTGGTCCGACGTTTGTACGTCCGACGTTTGACCTGTCGGACGTTTGTGGCGTCCGACGTTTGTACTGGTACCAACAGTTTTTCTTTGTTTACTTTCAAACTTGTAGTTTAAAATTGTTTGTCGGGGATCAAACCACTACATAAAAACTCGTTTTTATTGTATTGATATTATCGCCGATTACTTTATTTCAAATTATATAGAAATATCGTCAAAATTTAGTAAATTAAATAATGTTTTTTTTTCTACCAGATTTTCTCTTCTCCTTCACCAGTGGAAACTTATGAGAAAAATCAGGGATTACAGTAAGCAACATTTTTTTTCAGAGTTCATTATTTTATTCGAAATTTTTACAGTGAAACCCATAATATTATGGAATAAAGAGACGACTCTAAGACTCAAGTCTTGATTTTTTATCTTTATACGGTGGTAGGCAATGTTTTCAATATAATGAAGACGACTTTTGATTTAAATTTTGATTTATATAAAGCTTTTAAACAGCATGGATACACAAAAACATGTAAACAGAGAGAAGCTGTCAATTAATATAGCTTCTCATATATAGCTTTCAGTGTATACCCTAACCTGCTCAGTGTATACCCTAACCTGCTATCAGTGTATACCCTAACCTGCTGCCGACAACACCTCTCGTTCCCTGTCTCCAACGCTAGAAATTCAGCTGACCAGCTGAGGTATGGCGGGAGATTTACTTCCAACACAATGAAGATCACTTACCAGCTCCTAGAGTTATACAATGTTGGTGTAAACGCTGGCCTGGATTTGAAGCTGAATCTATGGACAAGGGATGGGGACGAGTTTTTTTTTTTCTCGCCTTCCTGGATCCAAGCATCAGAGAACCAGGACTAGGAGCAGAAGATGGAGAAGTTATGGACGGGCGAGAAATACCTCAAAGGATGTTAGGTCCCCCTTGCAGGCTGCAGGACCCTCCCAGGTGCGTGAGAGGTCCCATCTGCAGGTAGCTAGACCCCGCCAGGTGGATGAGAGTTCCCAACCGCAGGTAGCTGGACCCCCCAAGGTGCGTGAGAAGTCCCAACCGCAGGTAGATGGACCCCGCCAGGTGGATGAGAGTTCCCAACCGCAGGTAGCTGGACCCCGCCAGGTGGATGAGAGGTCCCAACCGCAGGTAGCTGGACCCCCCAAGGTGCGTGATAGGTCCCAACCGCAGGTAGCTGGACCCCGCCAGGTGGATGATGAGTCCCAACTGCAGAAATCAGAGTCCCCTCAAGAGAATGAAAGAAATCCAGCCCTGACTGTGAAAACCCCCTTGATGGAGGAGAGAATCTGCAGGAAAGGGTTAAGGCGCCATTTCAATGATACAAAGTACCCAAATCCTCATTTCTTGAAAGAACCTTTTACTTCTTTTACACCCTCCTCCTATATACCTCAGTTAGACGGTGAAAATGAACCTAATCCTGAACCTGATCCTGAACCTGATCCTGAACCCGATCCTGAACCTGATCCTGAGCCCGAACAAAAATGCGACCCTAATCCAGAGCAGACCCTGAAACCCCTAATTAAAACCATTCCACCTGAGCTTGAACCCGCGCCTGGCCTGAATCCTCCATCCAATATTGTGAATCCAATGTTTGGATTTTGTCAGGAAACTACGTGTTTAATATGTCCCGATAAAACCACGGAAAAAATCGGAAACTATGATGCCTGTTTTCCTAGTACAGATAAATCAATACCAGGATGTGAACGTGTACACTGGCATTCTAAGAATACACTCTGTTTTACAGCTAGTGAATTCAAAAAAACTAATATGTGGTAAAATTTCTCTGAGATAATTGTAAAACTTTATGAAATCTTTAATCTTTAATCACTGAATAAATATTTAGATCTTAAAAATATAGCTTCTCTTTAATTGCTTGTAAACTTGTAATTAAAAAAAAAATAGGTTAACAATTGAAAATTTAATAAAAAAGTCGTCTTCATTGCTATAATCGCCTACCACCTCACACAACAATTATTCGGTGTGCAAAGATCCCTTCAACAATAAGTAAGATGTGTTTCAACCTTTTAGTATAAAAGTATTTTTTTTAAACAACACCATGTAGATAAGTTTTCCTAAATGTCGTCTTCCTATTCTACAGTTTAAGGAGTCCCACTGAAGTGTATATTGATATTAATCTCAGTCGAATAACAAACTAGGCGAAAACCCACTTTTTTAAGGTCGTACTTTTACTAACATATACAAATTATTGCAATCACGAAGCGGAGTAATCTTAAACATAGAACGGATATATAGGCTGAATCTATACGAATTTAGACTGTTCCTGACAGTCCTAGATTGTAATGTAAACAAATAGTTTTCTAAATTGTTCTTTTCTTTTTTAGTTCCTGAGTCTATTCTCCTGCTAATAGTTGGCGCTCTCCTAGGAATGAAATATACAATTATATTATCTAATATGAAAAGTTCTTTGTTTGGATGTCCGATCATATTTTACAAACCCCATGACCGATTTGCCTCAAATTTGCATGATTGGGGAACTCAGGACATCCACATTGATGTTCATAGCTTGGTTTTGAGATTCTAAATTGAGTGAGTGGAGTTGACTTGCATAGAAAAAAATAGTTTAAATCGTAATATACGACGAAGCGCGGGTAAACGCGGTTTTTATGAAAACCCTGGCCAACGCTGGGTTCTCAAGCTATACTCGTTATTATAAAAATTCAGGTTTCTCTTTACAGACGTAGACGTTAAAAAATATACAAACTGGTGTTTGTGATGGTTTTGTGGGAGTTTCAATTCGCAATCGAAAAATATTATTCGAAAACAGACCTCACTGAAGATTGGTCCATGACAATTGGTCCATGAAACATTGTGTATGAGGATGTTTATCTGTTTTTTTGATTAAATAATAAATTAAAAATCAATAACATTCCTTCCAATTCCTTGTCTTGAATGTTTCCACATGTTTCTTTGGTTTCCTTCATGTCTGGTACTCTGATGTCTGATTCTTCACTAGTTACTCTAGGATACAACTTAAATTGTTGAATCCAGCCGTTTTCCTTCATATTTGGTATTTTGATGACTGATTCTTTATTAAAACTGTCTACTGTTACACTCTGTTTACATTGTCTTCAACATGTTGCTTCATTGTTCCTTGGAGTCTGGTCTTTACTTAGGGTTCCTTGATTCACACTGCTGCTACCACTTTTGTTGTAAATCCCCTGCTACGAATTCTTGAAATGTATCTATCCAAGTTTAACCCGTCCGCCAAAAAAGTCAAACAGGACACAATCCACATGGGTACAATCCCGCGATTTCGTAGCTATCAGACAAGCTATATATGGATCCCAAATGATGGGGACGATTCATGCTCTAAATGCCCCTTAAAGACACTAGCCTAGCTATCAACAAGCTATATATGGATCCAAAATGATGGGGACGATTCATGCTCTAAATGCCCCTTAAAGACACTAGCCTAGCTATTAATAAGCTATATATCGATCCAAAATGATGGGGACGATTCAACACTCTAAATGCCCCTCAAGGACACAAGCCTGGCTATCAAAAAGCTATATATCTATTTCAAATGATGGGGACAATTCAACACTCTAAATGCCACTCTGGGACACACGCCTAGCTATCAACAAGCTATATATGGATCCCAAATGATGGAGACAATTCAATGCTCTAAATGCCCCTCAAAGACACAAGCCTAGCTATTAATAAGCTATATATATATCGATCCAAAATTATGAGGACCATTCAACCCTATAAATGCCCCTCAAAGACATAGCTATTAATAAGCTATATTTCGATCGATGGGGACAATTTAATGCTCTAAATTCCCCTCAAAGACACAAGCCTAGCTATCAAAGTCATATATATCGATCTAAAATGATGGGGATACTTCAATGCTCTAGATGCCACTCCGGGACACAAGCCTAGCTTTCTAACAAGCTATATATTAATCCCAAATGATGGGGACGATCCTTTACCAGGGAATGATTACTCTCTAGCATTAAAGGGAGTGATCGGCTATGTAAGGTAATTGAACTGAGTATGCAGTGTTGTGGAAAACTTCTTCAGGATTCATTTGAGACATATTTCACTTTTTAAAAGTCTGTAAATCCTGAGTTTGAGCGCAAATTCGACGTTCAAAACTCCTGATTTGGGGGTAGATACGCTTTCAGAATTAGTTTTTTTTTTAAATTATTAATTAACGACGACATAAAATGTAAAAATATTCTACAATAAACTACAGACGTCATGTTTAGGAACATTTTGAGAAAACAAAAATTAATCTTATCATCGAAAATAAGTAATCTTGTTCAATTATTAGTTTCTATAATCTCATTATTCTAGTATCTCGTTATTCACAAAGATGTTCGCAGATTTTCTATAACTATTTTTGAAAAGACGACATTTAAAGAATTTGAAGAAATCAGCAAATAAATTCAAAGAAAATTAGAAATTCAATATAATAATGAAAACGAAATAATCGATTTTAGCATTGATTTATTGACAAGTTTCTTTTGTGAAATATGTTCCTAGCCATCTATTTAGATTACTGTATAATTTTTACTTTATTTTTCGTTGTCGTTATTTAATAATTTAAAAAAAAACTAATTCTGAAAGCGTATCCACCCCCAAATCAGGAGTTTTGAACGTCGAATTTGCGCTCAAACTCAGGATTTACAGATCTTTAAAAAGTGAAATATGTCTCAAATGAATCCTAAAGAAGTTTTCGACAACACTGCAATTACAGTTCAATTACCTTTCATAGCCGGTCACTCCCTTTAAACTGTACGGAGTTACTATATAGAAATGACTTTATTTAGATTTCTTGCATTACAAGTTTATGTGAATTGACATAATTACAGTTCTTACATCGTTATCTACAGAGCGTCCCATATCATATTAGATTAGTAATACTCGAAGAACCTAGCATTTTTTGCAAAAATATTTTTATATTGGACTTTTTCAATTTTTAAAAATAATTTAATCTTCTTAATTTTTTTGATTAGTCCCGAAAATCGTAATTTAGACGCATTTCCGATTTGACATGATGTGTGACACCCTGTATATATATCACATGATTACGACCATCATATTTGTATTTCCGCGCAGCTAAGTTTGATGTACGTATTTATAAGATTAACGAGGACAGATATAACGTGGTTAAGCTATCTCACATATGTATACAGCATAATTTAAGTTGAATGTACATACAGGGTGTCCCACGAAACATGGCAGTAGGTGAATTGTTTAGAATGTCTTTTTCCATAATTTGTTAAGTTGTTTGATACCAAAGATCAATAAAAATATTATATGGGAGTCATGCTATATTAAAATTGCTTTCAAAGTAAAAGATTTTTTTAACTAAAAATAACGATTTATTAAATGTCATGTTGCGTGGGACACCCTGCATTTAAATGATTAACATGGAGAGATATAACCGCAGTTAATCTAATCCCATACGCATGTTTTAATCATATCATAACGTAGCTCATGTTTAATATATCTAGGTATGTTCAGGTTAACAAATATGAGGATTGCTACGATTTTTGCTACACACCCACCTGTATACACATATGTAAGCTATTGTTGGCCAAACGGCTAAACCGAATGGGCTGGATTTTGGGGGGGACCCATGGATACACAGAAGGTGACATATATAGGCTAAAAATTGATTTTTTTCTTCAAAAATTCTAAAAATCCAAATTTCGATTAACACCGGCCATTTCCGCTAGTAATTATGTTATGTATAGATATCAATAATATATTTATATAAAGATAGATACATTATATATATTTGATTCTAATCGTGTCTATTCTAATTCATGAAACTGATTTGAATGCTAATACAGCAGATCTAGGGATTTATGTTAAATCTTGATACAACACTGTTTTACAATATTCATCCAGAAGTCGGATTAAACATAAGATTTGGCTCAAATCTCGAAACACATATGAAAACTTCTAGCTAAACCAACTATGTTTAAACCGTGTCTCTCATATATGAACCGAGTCTAGATACAGTTCAATTTTTTTATTCGGCTCGTGTGATAGTGAGCTTTGTTTGGATTTTCTCCACTAAGATTGCATTACAGCTTAATCTTTAAATCTCAATTTAAACTATTGTATGATTTCGATAAATCAATTTAAAAAGAAAAAAGGAGCGCTTGAAGAATAAAAAAACCTCCACAAATAAAATTCTAAACATGAAAAATATATCTCATCTGATTCCAGGATTTCTTGGCAATCTTCTTTCTGCGCAGGTAGCGGTTAATCTGTCTTCATGTAAATTTGGCTTTTCTCTTGGTTTATCGTTTTTTTTGTATTAAATAAATGTAAAAATACTGTACTTTTTATCTTTAGTTTTAAAGAAGTCATTTGCTACATCCTAATTTTGCGTCAGAATTAGGAATATTTTGTATACTGCATAATTTAGAATCATTATTCTAAGTGGATTTGTTTGTTTTCCTTGTCTGGCTCCTTAAGAGAATTTAGGATATTTCTTTTCTTATTCTTCTCTCAAATAGATCAAGGTTGGTTAGTAAGGTTGCTTGGTCTCGATGTGCTCCAATATTTAGAAAATGTCGTTTCCTGAGCCGTGGACATTGAAATCCGTAAATTATGTCACTAATGCCTATTCCCTACAGTAGCTGCTATAATCAGTGACGTCATTTTCGGATTTTACCATCTAAGGCTAAGGAGATGACATTTCCCTTACATTTGAGCGCATCAAGAGAAAGCTACCTCAATATACAACCTTGGCTTAGACTTATATAGTATCCGGGTTTATTGTGCTAACACCTAAACTTAGATCAAATACAGTCTCACGGCTCAACATTTTAAACAAAGTGCAAAGAAATATTTAATATTATTAATTCAAAATATGGAATGTCGCACAGAATTAGAGAATTTGGGATATTGAGAAATTGGCAATAAATATATGTTTGAAAATTACAGTAGGTTTTAAAATTACGTTCATTCTTGTTTCAGATTTCTAATCCTTGTTTTTCAGGTTTCTCATCCCTGTTCCAGGTTTCTCATCCATGTTTCAGGTTTCTCATCCTTGTTTCAGGTTTCTCATCCTTGACCTCTCGGTCGTAAAAAATAACTAAGTGAAAACGAGGCTGAAAAAGGATAACTTAAGATTTTTTAAAATTCTGATTCCTAGTGTTTTGATTCCACCAATTATCCTTCATGCGTCCTACAGCCTACACAACCCACACTTTCTAAATCAGGGACAACAAAACCTAAAAAAAGTTCATCTTTATCTAAACTCTTTATTTAAAGGGACTAATAATGTAAAGGAACTAAGTTTTTGCCACAAACTCAAATTTTCTAATCCCTGTATCTCTGCTACCGGAAGGTTTAACCCTTCGATATTTCAAACTTGGATTATTTGATCTTACATAATTCATAGTTTGAAATATCTAAGGTCTATGACATTAAAAGCCATTATAGGGATTAGAAAATCAGAGTTTATGGCCAAGACTCAAATCCTTTAAATGACTGTTCATGTACGTAAAGAATGGGATTTTCTTTTGCTTATTTTATTTCGGTTTCTCTACATAAAAGGCTCGTGATTTATGAAAAATATTTAAATTGGGCACCTTCGTAAATAGAGCAGCCAATGGAATGTCAATTGATAATCAGTCGACAGTCTCATTTGAGAAAAAAAAATTTTGTTGCCATCTTAAGATTGGCTCAATTATTACGTTGGCCTTTGTGGGGACAGGTAATTATTTAGTGTTTATAATAATTCTTAAAATATGAACATTTAGTATAAAAAAGTCACAAAATCGGATAAACTGTAAGTGATTTTGAATGTATGAAGAGTCTTGAATTTGTAAAAACAGTTCTTCTTTCTTTATAAACTTCCTTTCATTAAAGTTTTAGACGTGAATAATTTTTGATCACTTAATTTTTCAATGAAAGGGGTGAAAATGTCACACAAATTATTGCACAAAACCATTGCAGATATTTTATTAAACAGATACACGCATCTAATTTTCAACAGTAGGACCTTAAAGTGATAACCAGAAAACAATGCATAGAAAGACGGCATTATAGCAATATTTTTTTATGTTGTTTCGATGTTGTTACAACGCAAATATTTTTACTAGTAACTTGAAGTAAAAAGGGTCTATTTACACTTTACAATTGCTATGTCTAATGTTCATTGAACTTGTTTAAGTCTTAACTTGTTTTCTGGTTATCACTGTAGAAAACCGTGGAATAGGAAGACGACATGAAAACAATATTTAAAGTGTATTTGATGTTGTTACAAAGCACATAATGTTAACAGAAGCTTAAAAATAAATTATAATGTGTAATGGTCTGTGTTCACTGCACGATTGCTCTGTCTTGTATTTATTAGACTATTGAAAACATCCACTTCAGTCTGAAAGTTATCTTCCCCTTCCACAGTTTTCTGGTTCTTACTGTTCTCATTACATTTATTTGTTGTAGGGTTGAATGCTGTTCTTATTGCTATGTTTCTCTACTTTTTCTATTCATATCTTGTAAGTGTATTATGCAAGGTATATATTCAACAATCAACATTAAACCCGTTGTTATGTACTGCAGGTGAACCCTGGTATGGGAATACTTCACCTTCTAACCTTCTCCAGTATTATTGCTGCCGTTGACCCTGTTGCAGGTAGGTGAGGAGGAACATATTATCCCATCCCAATCTATTACTATTTTAATCTCTATCATAAATTATACATGTACTATGTTTCCAGGGCGCTTCGCGTCTCTTTTCTAACAATGATTTTAGCTGTTAGCCGTCACTTTTCAAGCTGCCATTTTTCTTTGAAAATTGTATATCGCGGACTTTTCTGTTTAAATTGGCGCATTTTTAAAACAATAAATTTTGTCATTTTTTCGAGGCTAAATTTTTTCAATTTGATAGACCGTAAACCTTCCATTGTGGATATATGAGTTGCTTCACAAAATTTGGACACCATCGGCATCAAAGAATTATAATGTAAAGATAGTTATTTTAGAGGTGTACACATTTTTTGAACTGCAGTGCACTGCCTCTGAACTGTAAAGTAAACACAAGACGGATGTCACAGCATGACATGGGATCCATCTTTCATGCACATAAAAATCAATGAAATATTCTGGTCTGTGAATTATCAAAACTATCAAAATTATAAGCTTTTATCCTCCTCGGATACTAGAAGAACACTGATGCATCTATTCTTGTATACAAACACGGCCCAGAGAGAACTGGTTTCAATATGTACGCAAAGAATACGCAACAGCAATTAATTTTCCTTGCCTTATTTCCTTGATCACATATAGTCTTTTCTAATTTTATCGGACACAAAAAACAGAGAGACAAGAAATCTTTTATTATTAATGATATAATTTGTATTAACATATTTTATGTTAGTTTTAGCAGTGTTTGATGATGTTAATGTTGATAAATCCCTCTACTATCTCGTTTTTGGGGAAGCACTGCTTAATGATGGAGTTACTTTCGTCATGTTCGAGGGGTTCAAGTCATTAGGTTAGTTTCATGTGGTTCAAGTCATTTGGTTAGTTTCATGTGGTTCAAGTCATTAGGTTAGTTTCTGGTTGTTTAACTCATTAGGTTAGTTTCTGCTGTTTCAAGTCATTAGGTTAGTTTCAGGTGGTTCAAGTCATTGGGTTAGTTTCTGGTTGTTTAAATCATGAGGTTAGTTTCAGGTGGTTCAAGTCATTAGGTTAGTTTCAGATGATTAAAGTCATTAGGTTAGTTTCAGGTGATTCAAGTCATTAGGTTAGTTTCTGGTGGTTCAAGTCATTGGGTTAGTTTCAGGTGATTCAAGTCATAAGGTTAGTTTCTGGCTGTTTAAGTCATTAGGTGAGAGGAGCAAGGTCACTACCCTCTCCCTCACCTCTCTTTCATATTTTGCTTGAGTCAGCTTTTCTACACATTTTCATAATACATAAAGGTGACGTCTGTCATCCTGTGTATTTGTCTTCATTCGCTTTAATTGGTGAAAAAAAAGATAGTGTAAAGCTCAAATTCCCTTCTTATTTTCCTATTCAAAGCTTTCTTCTTTTTTCATCAATAAAATCATGTAATTTTGTCTTTTTTATTATTTGATAAAATTAAAAACTAAAATACCATTTCTACTGTTCAGCTGTTCTGAAGGATGTGTCAGCTGTCCCTGTAACATCTTACGCTTCTGTAGCTTTATCCTTTATTACCTCGCCATTAGGTTAGTTACACCAGTGGCCAAATTTAAAGAATTTGAGCCTCGGCTCAAATATGGTTGGTTCCGCTTAAAATTGTATCAAATGTTTCAAGATTTAAGCCGGCACATAATTTAAACCAGGTTTTGGCAGATTTAAACTGCGGCTCAAATTCTTTAAATTCCATCTCAGGTTAGTTTCAATAGATTATTTAGTACACAGGTTCAGTTTCAATAAATTAATTAGTACACAGATTTAGTTTCAATAGGTTAATTAGTGCACATGGGTTAGTTTTAATAAATTAATTAGTTCACAGATTTAGTTTCAATAGGTTAGATAGTGCACAGGGTTAGTTTCAATAGATTATTTAGTGCACACGATTAGTTTCAAAAGATTAATTAGTATGCAGGTTTAGTTTCAATAGATTAATTAGTGTGCAGGTTTAGTTTCAATATATTAATTAGTACACAGGTTAGTTTCAGCTTATTTAGTGCACATGTTTAGTTTCAGTAGATTAATTAGTACACAGTAATCAGGTTAGTTTCAATTAATTAACAAGTACACAGGATTAGTTTCAATAGGTTAATTAGTACACAGGTTTAGTTTCAATCAGTTAACTAGTACTCAGGATTAGTTTCAATATATAAACAATTACACAAGGTTAGTTTCAATAGGTTAATTAGAAAACATGGTCAGTTAATTAGTACACAGGTTTAGTTTCAATCAGTTAACTAGTACTCAGGATTAGTTTCATTATATAAACAATTACACAAGGTTAGTTTCAATATATTAATTAGTTCACAGGTTTAGTTTCAATATATTAACAAATACACAATTGGTTAGTTTTAATAGGTTTATTAGTACACAGGTTTAGTTTGAATACATTAATTTAAACACAGGTTTAGTTTTAAAAAGTTAGTACCCAGGCTAGTTTTGATGTATTTAGTAGTAGATTTACTATGTACAGGATCACCCGTAAAGGATTATACATCAATGACGACTTATGGCATTTTTAAAATAAATCAATCATATAACTTTCTTTCTTATATATATATATTCATGCAAATGTTAAAAATAATTACAAAATCCATGAATCTAAATAAAAGACTTGAATAGCTTCACCTGTATGTTTAGGTGGGGTTCTATGTGGAGTAATCTGTGGATGGTTTTCAGGATTCTTTACTAAATTCACTTCAGAAAAAAATGAGTATTTAGGTCAATATATATATTTTCAAAGATTTTTTGAAATATTTCTTAATTTTATTTAAGGCAGACGCCTTAGCAAATATTTTTTTCTTTAACTGGAAATCCTATCTAGAACCATGTACAGTTCTTTCATTGTTTATTTAAGAATCACATACAGTCCTTTAATTGTGTATTTATATTTAGAACCGTGTACAGTCCTTTAATTGTGTATTTATATTTAGAACCATGTACATATCAATTTGAAAAATATACACCCCTGCCCAAAGGAAAAGACTTTACTTGTAACTAAGTGTATTTGATATTCTTACAATTTACAAAGCAAATTATTTAACTAGTAACTTCTTAAGTTACTTTTGGGGGAAATGGGCCAGTTTACACATCATAATTGCTGTGTCTTTATGTACATTGGAATATTTAAAGTCATACTTGGAGTCTAAAAGTCGTCTTCATATTTTAGAGTTTTCTGGTTCTTACTGTTCAGGATAAAAGATGTAAAAAACAGGATTTTAATTTTTACTGTTTAGGTTGGATGGTCTGGAATTTTGGCAATTATTGCCTGTGCTCTCACACAGGCTAGATACACCTTCTTTAATATTAGGAACATATTCTATATCTATATCATAATCTGTATCAAATTTTCATTTCAAGTTAAAAGAAAGTCTTAAAATTAAATTTTGATTAACTGATTAATAATTGTTTAAAAATATGATTTGTACGCTAGTGAACGATCAAAAGATACAGTACTAGGACTGATTAAGGTCAATTAAAAAAAATAGTTTTATGTTGAGCTCTACTCATATAAAAAATTTGGATGCACATTAGTGATATTGCTAAGGAAAATGAGCATCGGCTTCACTTCAAATATCACTATCCCCATGGTAGTGTATACCAACGGAACATTATCACTAGGGTGCATCCCAAAAAAAAATTAACCTTAGCATTCAGCTTTATTATCAATATTTTCAAATTTATTCAACAAAATTTATATATTATTTAAACATTATTTTATATTATATTATATTATATATTTTTCTATTCTATTTCTATTGTTTTTTATATTTCTTTAACCGTTACAATTTTTTTTTATTAATTTTCATCTATTGCACTATCATTTAAATTTCTATTCTTCCACAGTTAATTAATTTTTATTGATTCTTTTTTTTTAAATTAAATTTTTTTCATCTCAGGTTTAATTTTGATGTTTTATTTTAATACTTTGCTGCCCTAAAGTCAGTTGCAATAAGCTGTGAGGTTCTAATATTTGTGCTTCTTGGGAACAGTTTAACAAAGGCTGGAGGCTGGGATTGGACCTTTATAGGCATCAGGTCAGTTTAAAGGGACAGTAAGCATAATTTAAGTTAACTTTAATTTATTGAGTGGCGTGTCTGATTTACAATGATACCCTATAAACCTTTGTTTGATCAAGGATTTCAAAGCTATGCCTATTTATATGATAAATGAAAAATTTTCGTATTTCTTTTTTTATACTTTTTTGTTGGGCTGTGTGTTTTTAATATTAAACCATATGAAGTTTTTTTTACGTTTTTATCTGCACTTTTGTAAACTGAACACAATATTTGTGAGAAACTTTAATTTAGCCATGCTAATATAATTTTTCACTCAAATCAGACTTCTTAAGCTATACAAAATATTGTCAAATTTTTTTATTTTCTTGTTTTAAATCCAGAAAAAATGCTGTTTTTAAATTTAAATTTTACTTATTTTCAGTTTGGTATTGGTCTATGTGTCCAGGGTGGTTGTAACTATGGTACTCTGCTCTATTCTAAACTATTTTAGGATTGAAAAAATTGATTTCAGGAAAGGAAAGATGTTTTTCAAACAAGATTTTTATTTCTAATCAACAAAAATATCTTCTATGAAACCATTTGTTTGTCCAGCCTATACATTGAAGACGACCTAATTTTCTCAATTTTGTGGAAAATTTTGTCTAGCCCCGAGTTTGTTTTTTATTTAAAAATTCACTAAAACCGGATAATTTTACTGTTGATTTTGTCAATTATCAAAAAGATAAATGCGTAAAATCAAATATATGAAAGGAATACATGAATAAATAAAATAAAAAATATCTTATTTTAAAGGTGGCAAGCAATTTTAATTCTAGGCGGACTAAGGTATAAGAGTAAAAGATTTTATTCAAATTCTATTGTAAAATCGTAAATTTATCAATTTAATATATAATATTTGATATGTTTGCATAATACGATAAGTTTTGTTTTTAAAATGATTAAAAATTAGAAATTATAGGAACCTTAATTTTTTGCTCTTAAAGAATTATAAATCCACAAATTCCTGATTTGTAAAAAAATTATAATTTCCCCCTTGAATATTTAAAATTTCCCTCTTAAATATTTATAATTTCAACCTTGAATATTTATAATTTCCCCCCTTGAATATTTATAATTTCCCTCTTGAATTTTTATAATTTCCCTCTTGAATATTTTGTTTAGAGGCGCGATTGCCAACCTGATGGTACTAGCATACGATGGTCCTTTCCATGAAATATTTTCAGGTTTCAAAAAAAGATTTTGAATTAGATTTAGTCAATTATCAAATAGAAAATGACTGCAATGAAAAATATGTTCACATCAAAGCAGGTTAATTCTATGTCACTTTTAGTGAAAGTTTAATTTTCAGTGTCAGATAATATATTCAATAATGAATTAAGACTGAATTTAAGTGAAATTAGTGCAGTTTTATTTGTTATTTCTTTTCTTTTTATATATTTTTCATTAAATGTCCTCCTGACTTTTTAACTTTAATAATTTATTTTTGGATAAGGGGTGTGGGCACAAGCTCATGCATACAAATAAAAACGAAATATCTATATATCTATTTCCAGTTTGTTATCAAAATTTTGCTATTAATGTCCTCTTGACTATAAAAGAAGGATTGAAACTGTGACGCCAAAGATGTCATGTCAAATACCTTTAAATAGCATTGCCACCTATTGTTCATGTCAGACAATTGTAATCTATATAATAAAACAAGACATTCGTATATATATATATACTAGAAATTCAAGGCGCTTCGCGCCCTTCTTTCTAGCCTTAGAGGGCGCTTCGCGCCCATCTATATTTAAATAAATGCCTTTGTAATATTTAGATACAATCCTTGTAACAGTAAGATACAATTCTTGTAATTAAGAAACATTTTGAAACATTTATATTCAATCCTTGAAATATTTAGAAACAAATCTTTTAATATTTGAATACAATCCTTGTAATATTAAGATACAATCTTTGTAATTTTAAGATACAACTCTTGTAATATTTAGATACAACTCTTATAATATTTAATTAGATTCAATTCTTGTAATATTTATATACAACTCTTGTAATCTTAAGATACAACTCTTGTAATATTTAGATACATCTCTTGTAATATTTGTAATATTTAGATACAACTCTTATAATATTTAGATTCAACTCTTGTAATATTAAGATAGAAGTCTTGTAATATTCAGATACAACTCTTGTAATGTATAAATACAATTCTTGTAATATTTAGATACAACTCTTGTAATAATATTTGTTACCGTGATACTAAATGGCCTGATCGCTAAGCCTGCAATCAACTACTTTAAACTAGGTAAATAATTTTAACAAAAAAGATTTAATTATATTTCTATTAGGATCTTAATATTCATATAAACTTTGCTTTGGTTGTATATTTTTCTGTATCCAATAAACGTCAAAACGGATGAACTGATTGGACCAATAATATGTGGCAACTCACACAAGGTTTTTGGTTTTGTATGTTTAAAAGGGAAAATTTTTGCCTAAAAAAGATGTACATTTTTTATTTTAGAAATCCATCTATGTTTACCAAAAAATCAACAAACTTTTGACCACTTGAAAAGCAACATTTAGCATTTGACATTTGAAATGGTTTGCAGCATTGGCTTGAAGCGCCAGGAATTCCTTAGTTTTATTTGTCCATTAAAATTAATAAATGATTAATTGATCACACTGATCTCACAAAAAGGAAATGATTCATTTGTGTACTGTCATGTGTACTGTCAATGTCATGTGTAATGTCACGTTTTAACGCCTCTGTAGTCTGTACAACTTGCTGTATATTATATTCAAAAGTCAAAAACGGTACTTTAAATCAACCGGAGATTTTAGTGATTTGGCAATCTAATTTTAAACTATTTGAAGTATTTTACATGAACCAGTAATTAGAAAAGTTCTCATAAACTTTAGGAATACAGGCACTTACATCTGCACCAGGCATCTTATCACATTTACAGGGACTGTGAAGCAATGCATGATCAAGAATGAATGAGGTTTCTTCAACACTCAACCTTAATCCCTCTAAAGAAGAGAAAGACACGCTCTTAATCTTTAGTACCATCCCCTATTCCTCAGCTGGACGGGGATAAAAACACGTAAGCTCCAAGTCTGAAATTGAATCTGATCCAGAGCCTGAAACTAACCCTAACCTTAAACCCGGTGATGCTGAGGAGTCTGAATCCGAACCCTCAAATATGGACAACCCTGTTTTTGGATATTGCTAACATAAGAAGTGCCGGTTATGTCCAGTTAGAACAAATGAAAAAGTGGGAAACTACTATCACAGGTCAAACTTTCCGGTCCCAGTTTGTACTGTATCGCTCGGACATTGGGTAAATAAAGCAGACACTCAATTGGACTAGCCAGTGCAACAAGGTTGACGCGGTCAGACTTTAGGTCAGATTTACTTTTACTAAAGGGTCATAGGTGCGTGCTATGCATGTTTTTCAGATAGTTCAATAAAGTGCTGTTGTCAGGCTCTACACTGGCATTCTAAAATGAAAATCTGTATATAATATTAAAAAAAATAGAAAATGTACAGAGCTGAAAACTTTAGAATGGTGGATATCGAAATTAATGCTTGATCCTTTCTTTTTCCTAAGATCTAGACTAACCTAATCTTGAACTTGTATCCCTGAAAAGTGTACACAAGTCAACCAATCAGAGTCGCGAATATAAAGCCGATAAATTTGAAATTTTGCGCGCCATTTAAGATTATATACAGACATGGAACGAACTCTCTAATTTAGAAAAACCGGTTTTGATTTTTCTCTACTATATCCAAGACAGAGTGGTTTAAGAAGAAAATCAAAAGTGTGTCCATTGGAAACTCAGATTAAGTAATCGGGATTAAGGATATCTCATTCTAAAGTTTTCAGCTCAGAATCACTTAAATTGATAAAAAGAAAGACCTAATAAAAAATGTATATGTAATCGTACAAATCTTAATCAATAATGTATGCATTAAACTTTTTACTGAATAAAAATATTTAAATCTTTTAAAAAAAGAATGCATGAGAAATTCTTGTTTTTAACTCAATTAATTTGATTGCAGAATTCGGCTATTGAAATAATGAAGGACATTATTAGAATTAAACACATTTTCAATCAGATACAGGTTCAGCTGGTACCATTGTGAATTGGACCTGTACTCTTTAAATGGAGAGTCTATAGAGGACGTCCTCTATGTCTAGGGGGATCAGGAGGGACCGGAGGATGTTGGCGTGGGGGTCTGCCTCGGCGTGGAGGTTCTACTGGAGCCTCATCATCTGCCGTGAAAGCTGGTTTGAGGTGTTGGACTGAAACCACTTCTACTCTCTTGCCAACTTGGAGCTGGAAGGTTTTAAGGGAGCGGGATAAAACCTTGTAAGGACCTTCGTAGAGGGGGGCTAGAGGAGCAACATGTCCATCCTTACGTATAAAAACCATTGGGCAAGATGAGAGTTCTGCAGGAATAACTTCTGGAAGAGTGTCAGCTGCCAGAGTATTATGACGAGGCAGAGTATGATGAAAACCAGACATCGAATTTTTAAGGTTTTCATAGAACAAATTTGTTGGAGGAACATGGAACATGGAACATGGCAGAGGCACACTCCGCCGCAGAAGGCGGAGTACCTCTGTTGAGTGGCGGAGAGCTTGGCAGAGAAGAAAGCTAGTGGAAGCCAACCACCTGACTGTCTCTGTTGTAGATCTGCACCCACGTGTGTGTTGGACACATCAGTGATGAGTGACACCTCGGCGGATGGAGAAGGATGTGTGAGAGACACGGCGGAAGAAAGGGCGGATTTGGCATCAAAGGCATCTTGTAACTCCTGGGACCAGTTAAGAACCTGAGGATTTCCAGCTAGGGCATCAGTGAGAGGGCGGAGAGTTCTTGCAATCCCAGGTAAAAAACAGCGGTAAAAGTTGATCATGCCTAGGAACCTCTGGAGACCACGTACATCCTGGGGATGTGGTAGGAGGAGTAGGGCATCTACATGACGACGTAGGGGAACGATGCCATCAACAGTAATCTTATGTCCCAGGTACTCAATCTTGTGTTGTACAAAACTACACTTATCCAGGTTCAACACTAATCCGTTCTGAATCAGGAGCTCTAGGACAACCTGGAGATGCTCGATGTGGAGTTTCCTGGTTCGGCTGGCAACCAGGATGTCATCCAAGTAGATAAAAACAAAGGGTAATCCTCTAAAGATCCTGTCCATCAATCGTTGAAATGTCTGAGCCACATTTATCAGTCCAAACGGCATATATAAAAATTCAAACAATCCAAATGGGGTCAAAATGGCAGTTTTACAAATATCTGCCTCACTCATGGGAACTTGATTGTAACCCTTCACTAGGTCGAGTTTGGAGAAAAACTTGCAACCTCTTAAATTGTTTGTAAAATCACGAATGTTAGGGAGAGGATACCGATCTGGTCTGGCAACATTGTTTAAACGGCAGTAATCACCGCAAGGACGCCAGGATCCATCAGATTTTTGAACCATATGTAGAGGTGAGGCCCTAGGACTATCAGAATGGCGGATAATCCCTGCCAATTCTAATTTTTGGAACTCAGCTTTAGCTTGCGCTAACTTAATTTGATCCAAACGGCGGGGGTGAGCATATAACGGTTGTCCTTCTGTTTCAATCACATGCTCCACGTTGTGCTCAGGGAGTTTACCAGGTGTTCGTGGATTCCAGGCTGCAGGAAACTCATCCAGGAGAGAGGCAACATCAGTGGCAAGTTTACACACAGAGGCAACGAAGGAATCGGCGGGAAAAAACCTAGGTGGTGCAAGAGGTTCAAAGGAGAGATTTTGAAGAACTTGGCGGGTCTTGGTGTCAACTAGGAGGTCAAACTCTGCCAGGAAGTCTGCTCCCAGGATTGGTTGGTCCAAGTCAGCGAGGAGGAACTGGAACTGGAAACGGCGGGAACCAAACTGTAGAGGAATCAATCTGGAACCCCAAGCTTTAGTTGGCCGTCCATCAGCCATTAGGAGGTGGGGGCCTGTCGGTGCAGCTGAGTAACAATGAGGAAACACAGATCTTGACGCTCCAGTGTCAACTAAATAATCACGGTTTGACAGAGCATCTTGAAGGTACACGAGATAACCGCCGATGGGAAGGCTGTTTAATTTTCCTCCTCCCGTCGGCTCTGGCGTTTCCCTGGAAACTGCAAGGAGGGCAACAATTGTTGGCTGCTGTGGAAATAACACTCAGAGTTTGATGAACCTGGGGTTTGACTACGGCGGTTTGGCGATGGGCTTCTACGGTCCTGAGCTCTACCACGTGATGGGGAAGATGATGAGGTCGACGCTGCGGCTAGGAGGTGGTCAGTAGGTATAGCTTTCCTGGCGTCCCACAAACTGTCGGTGTATAACGCCATTTCACTAGGGTTTTTGAATTCCCTGGAGACTAGATGGTCCCTCATCTCGACGGGTAACCTTTCCAGAAATAAACCTTGGAACAGGCAACCTGGTTTCTCGTCCTCTGGGAGAAGGGCCAACATGGCGTCCATGAGAGCAGTAGGGCGTCGGTCTCCCAGCCCAGGGTGATGAATTAGTTTGGAAACCTTCTGTTAGCGTGATAGAGTATACGAGGAGACAAGTTTGGCCTTTAAATCCTCATAATGGGTTTCTGAGGAGGCAGCAGAACCCATGATCAGGCCGCGTACCGAGACCATAATCTTCTGGGGAAGTTTCTGTACGATGTGGTCGAATTTGGTTATTGACTGTGTGATCTGGGCGTTTCTGAAGGCTGCCTCTGCATGAAGGAACCACAGGTCGGGGTCCACTGTCCAGAAATCCGGGAGCTTGACGGAGACTTTGGCGACGAACTCGGTTGGAGTTTCTTTCCGGTCGGTCATGATGCTCGGATGTATCACTTAATGTTCAAAGTTCAAGAAAATCACGAAACTGGATAGCGTTTAACTGTATGTTCAAAGTCGGGGGTCACCAATATAGAGGATGTGAGTCAGACTCTAATAAAAACGCATAAATAACTTCCAGTATATATATTTCTTATAACTTATTACTAGAGGGTTCAGAAATAGAGTCAAAATCGATATCACATGTCTTGATGTTTATCAGTACTATGCCCCGTATCCGTTCTATCTCATTCTGTTGAATCTTGTGGAACTTGTTTAACGCGGCCAGGCATTGTCTTCCACAAGTCAATATTAAAATCAGTATTTTTTAAATAAAAAAAAATCTTCAGCGATCTGTATTATGCTACCAATGAAACACAAAATTTGATGATTTAAGAAAAAATCCTAAAAAAAATAAAATCATATCAAAATATGTATTAGAATATAAATTACTTGTTTTTTATATACTTGCAGAAGCAGGGGAGGATATAGTTCAATATTCAACTATCCGATATTCACACTGGGAGAAGAACCATGTACTGCCCTGGATTCAAAAAAGGTACTCTATCTATTTATTTATATATCTATCTATCTATATATCTATATCTATCTATCTATCTATCTATCTATCTATCTATCTATCCATTCATTCTTCTATCCGTCTTTTTATCTATCTATCTATTCTAGGGTAAAGTTAGAAGATAAGATACTGGAAAGTTCCTGCTTCCCACCAGTTCTGCCCAGGAAACTTTTACAAAACATTTCATTTCCCTGTGTATCAGAGTTCAGGGTAGAACCTTTACCTTTCATTTCCTTGTATATCAGAGTTCAGGGTAGAACCTTTACCTTTCATTTCCCTGTATATCAGAGTTCAGGGTAGAACCTTTACCTTTCATTTCCCTGTATATCAGAGTTCAGGGTAGAACCTTTACCTTTCATTTCCCTGTATATCAGAGTTTAGGGCAGAACCTTTACCTTTCATTTCCCTGTATATCAGAGTTCAGGGTAGAACCTTTACCTTTCATTTCCCTGTATATCAGAGTTCAGGGTAGAACCTTTACCTTTCATTTCCCTGTATATCAGAGTTCAGGGTAGAACCCATAGATATAGATAGATTGCGCATAAGACCACATTTTTCATTTTGAAAGATATAAATGTACAGAGATGTTTTAAAGATATTTCTATTATATAGATTAACTAGGTCGGTTGTGAACATTAGCTGTTCTTATGTCATTGAGAACTTGTGGTGTACATGAGTTCTGTAGAGAGAAATTTAAGTTAGTTTAGTCCTTCTCATGTCCTTCTTCAGTTCTCGTCAATATGATGTATTGCTCAGTGAAATATTGTTGTTCAAATAGTTAAATTAAAACACCAAACCACCCCGCTTATCATTGAAGTACACTTTGACCCCTAGAAGTATGAGTTCGCGGACTGTACAATTCTTGGTGATTTTGCGTACATAAGCTATCTATGTTTATTTATTTATCTATGGTAGAACCTTTACCTTTCATTTCCTTGTATATCAATATTGATTGTCCATGATTATGGATGTTCAATGATTAAAAATGTTCCATGATTATTATTGTTTCATAATCAGAAGCATGTTTAAAGATCACAAATGTTACATTTTTATGGATGTTCCATGATTAAGACAATTTTATTATTTTATAATTATGTAAAAACTTAAATAGAACCTTAATTCAAACACTTCCTTTCAAGTATTTGTAAAAAAATTTCCATGAATTTCCCAAAAGATTCAGACTTAAATACATTCCAAAGATTTTAACGATTAAAAACTTTTAATATGATTAGAAAGATTTAAAGATTCAGGGTTTTCAAAGATTCACTAATTCAAACTTATTTAAGGTTTAAATACAATTTTTAGTTTGTAACTAAATGGGGATCAATTCCAATAGTTTTTTTTCAAAGAATTTTGTCAAGAAAATAATATACTCAAAATATTTTTAATATTTAGAAAAATTTCACTAAATTCAGGGGAAATTAGTGATTTAATGTGTCTAGTAGAACTATTTGCTATGTAACAACATCAAATACGCTTAAGGATTGCTGTAAAGTCGTCTTCCTACCCCATTGTGTTCTGTGTAAATAAGGAAGATACTTCGAAAAATTTGGTATTTTACAGACAGTTAAATATTCATTAATTTTGTAAAACTTAAACTGCGCAGAGTTGGTCCAGAGATGATTCAAACTCATTGTACTCCTCCTCCTAGTATTTCAAGTTCACAGCTGTACTAGTCACCAAACCAAACCTTCAGTCATTTTGTATAGGTGTCACTGTCATCTCCAAACCTGCTGTACAGCTGTTCTAGTCACCAAACCAAACCTTCAGTCATTTTGTATAGGTGTCACTGTCATCTCCAAACCTGCTGTACAGCTGTTCTAGTCACCAAACCAAACCTTCAGTCATTTTGTATAGGTGTCACTGTCATATCCAAACCTGCTGAACAGCTGTACTAGTTACAAACCTTCAGCCATTTTGTATTTGTGTCGTATCCAAACCTGTAATGTGTTTTATGATATCTAATAAAGTAAGTAAAGTGCATCTTGTCTTTTTATTTAATTTAATTCAGATTTGTTGCCTTTCTTCAGTTATATTATCATTAATTCTCCATCATGCTTTAAATATTGTTGTTGTGTGTTGTGTTGCCGATCCTTGAATATCATTGATGAATTATCTTGTCGATCCTATCTTGAATATCATTGATGAAATCTCTACCAATACAAGGACTGAAGGCAGACTCTAAGCCAGATATTAAGCTGTTCCTAAAAACATTATTGATTTTCAGAAATTTTATCTTTCTCGCTGTCATTGAACAAATCGTAATTTAAAGTTATATTTTTTTAAAGTTTCTTTTTCTCCTTTAGCACATCTGAGAGACAAGCAGTGAGCAATTGAGCATGTAGACCTTCATATATGATGGTGGTGGAGGGGTATATTTTGAGAATAAATTTCTCATGGTTTTACCTGGCTTCTTCCCATCCTAAGCCAACATCAACTGCTAAACGAAGGAGTTCAAGAGTAGGAGAAGGAGCAAGTTTCAAATCCCCTAAAAAAAACCCTGGCTACACAAAAAAGTATTTTGAAGTTTGAATGTGTACATAAAAACGTTTTCAGAATAAAGTGTACAAAATATAGAGTACATAATAAAATGTAAAGAATAAAGATTACATAATAAAGTGTACAGATAGAGTACATAATAAAGTGTACAGAATATAGAGTACCTAATAAAGTGTAAAGAATAAAGATTACATAATAAAGTGTACAGTATATAGAGTACATAATAAAGTGTACAGAATACAGAGTACCTAATAAAGTGTAAAGAATAAAGATTACATAATGAAGTGTACAGAATACAGAGTACCTAATAAAGTGTAAAGAATAAAGATTACATAGTAAAGTTTACAGAATACAGAGTGCCTAATAAAGTGTAAAGAATAAAGATTACATAATAAAGTGTACAGAATACAGAGTACCTAATAAAGTGTACAGAATACAGAGTACCTAATAAAGTGTACAGAATACAGAGTACCTAATAAAGTGTAAATAATAAAGTGTACAGAATATATAGAATAGAATAGCGCATACTGCATACACAATTTATTCTCGATGCTCTTCGGTTAAATTTAATTTTCTTAAAGTACTTTTTGCTTTTGCTTGGTAAGATAAAAGTTATGCGTAGAGTTTTCAAAGGAAAAAGGTTCTTTCATCAAAACTTAATTCATTAAAATCTAAGAAATATCTTTCAGATTTCTGCCAAAAAGTAAAATTTTTAAAATGACTAAAAATAATCTTTTGAAATATAATATTTATTTTATGAGAGGGTTGGATTAATACCTGAGAGTAGTAAATTATCACTGCTCAGACTGTATTTTACATAATTTTCCTAAATATTATTATTATATAAAGAAAATATAATTGTTAAATAAAAATAAGAACGAAAAATATAGTGAAGCACTTTTTAATCATCATTAATTAAAGTATACTCCACACTGATTTAACAGTTTGGTCCTTGTCCCAAGTCAAAAAATTGTTGATATATAGATTGAAAAGCAATTGAAATTGAAAAAGAAAAAAACCCAACTCATCTTGCCCTGGTCAGTCAAGATGACTCTGTAATAATTACAATTGTGATGTATTCTGCGCTTTTAGCTCAAATACTTCTTCTTAGCGGTCATTTACCTTAAAGAAACAAAACTGATTAAAGTTTAGTGAAAAAATTTAAAACTTTAACTTGTCTGCTAGTTTGTGGTTTTTCCGTAATTGACAACACATGTACCTGGACCTAGACCTGGACCTAGACCTGTCCCTTGACCTGTACCTAGACCTGGACCTGGACCTGGATCTGGACCTGAACCTGGACCTGGACCTGGACCTGGACCTGGACCTATACCTGGACCTGGACCTGGACCTGGACCTGGACCTGTAATAGTTTCACCGGGTGCTCGGCAAAGTTTTTAACCTTGAATCCATTCCCAACATTGGAGGTCAAACAAACCTATGTAGATATACAAATGGATAGACCCAGACTGCCATGAAAAGTTGCATCAATTTTTAAGACCATGATCGACTGTGAAGTGGCGCAACGCCTTTGCCTTTGTTTTTAACGCAGTAACTCACTTTGCCGCCCTAAAGCTAAAGGACTTGAGTTTTTTTAGCTGAAGTTTTAAAAAAGTAATTGTCAAATTTCTCATCGGTTTTTATGTCAAAGTTTGCAACATTTGAATAACTGTGACATATATTACAATAGTGCAACCTGATGTTTAAAACCGTTCTAAACAAAATTATTAATTACAATTTTCATGAAAAACTCTGTAAAAAGATGCCAACATTTTTTTAAAAAACAAATACAATAGTATTAAAATTAAATAGTTGTAAACGTTGGATTATGACTATAGGCTACAAAAAAGTATTAGGACAGTAGTCGTCCAAGTCTGGAAAATTGATGTAATTTGTCATACCATACCATGCATGGGGTAATTGTAAACATAATATTTACTTACAAACAAATATGCATTTTTAAAATCTGTTTTATACAAAAATATAGCTGCACTTTAAAAAAAAACTATTTTCGTACAAACATATCTACACTTTTAAACAAAAACTAATGTTCTCACCTCCACTGTCATATTATTCTTTTCCAGTAATCTTAAAGACTCTGCGTCTGACCTTAATAAATTGTACAAATATAATTTTTTCTTTTATTGTCAATCGAATTCAAACTTGCAAATCGATCCTTCATCTAAAGAGTACCATACATGGTGATATTCTAATTAACCCGGGAATAATGCAAATTTATTGATAACTTTAAAGTCGTCTTTGACCATAGAAATAGTTTGCGGCATTCAACATTGGTAACTTTATTTTAACTATGTTTAAAGGAGTATGAAATAGAAATGAGATACAACTGACGAGGCCCGCCCTACCGTATTATTAAACATGCTTTGAAGCAAGATTATAATGCAAGGAAAGTTATTAAAGAGGTGTACGCATCTTTTGTACTTCAGTGTAATACTGTCTTTGAGCGGTAATGTAAACACAAGACGGATGTCGAAGCCTGACATGGGATCCATCTTTCAAATAAAAAATCAATGAATTATTCTGGTTTGCATCAGATGTATCTCCCTTCTATTTCCTACTCCTTGGCTATATTGTATATATAACAATCATCACGTACTTGTTACCTTTAAAGAAGTTTCCCTTTCTTAAAAACTCGAAACCCCTTTGCGTTAGATTTAAAACTAGGGTTTGATGCCGTTAACAAAGAACCCAACTATCTGTTGTTTTCCCAGAAATTGGAATGGTTATGATTCACAAACCCTTTACCCTTTTCAAACTTTTTTTCCAAAAATTATATTATCAGTTAATTAAAATAGCAGAACAGACCAACAATTCAGGTAGCTGTTCCTTATTAGCTAAATACTTAATGTTCTGTTCGTTTTTTTCATGAATGGTTATTTTTGTTAGTTAACGATATCAAACTTAACAGTTTTTACCGTTCGCAGTAGAATATTCCGTTAATCAACTTGCCGTTCGTTAACGCCCTAATTTGATGGAACTATAGAATTTAAACCTGACTGCAATCCCGTGTCCTATCCTCCTAACTCCTTGATTTATCGCCCATCTTAGGTTTTCTATACTGCCATACTTCTCAGGCCATTCTCCTTTATTCAACAATATTAGAATAATAGGCTTTCAGAGCGATGTGCAACCATCTTCTATTTCAGTAGAAATTCGTAAAAGAATAAAAAACAAAAAACTTGCGGAATTTTTAAAATTTAATGAAAATTGAATTTTTTAGGCTAATTTTTGAAATTTTGATCATCCATAAACCTTCCCGTGTCCGAATTGAATGAATTTAACCCGCGTCTCAAATCCTCCAAAAACCGGTTTTAATTGAGCACCAGCTTAAATTTTGAAAAATTTAATGCAGTTTTAAGTGGAACCAACCAAATTTAAGCCGCGGCTCAAATTCTTAAAATTCGGTCTCTAAGGTCATAGAAGGCTCCACACAAAATTTGAGCCCGATCGGTTCAGCCGTTTTGACGTTTATGGATACAAACAGACAAACAAACACCAAGACACTAATCCCTTCAAGATGCACCACTTGAGTTAAAAGTCTAATGCTATAAACTTACTTTTATAAATTCTAAAAACAGCTCAATAATAAAATTAATCAACATATCTTCATATTACTGCATTCTTTTGCACATTCTTTCAAAAGGTTAACAAATACAACAGCAACATACAGGGTGAAAAAAGGGATTAACGACACTATTTTTTTGCATGGTTCATGTTTAAGGATGAATAATATGGAAATAGAGAAGCAAATATCATGGAAAAAATCTTTCAATGCTTTCATTTTGAAACGTTTGTATTTTAAATAAAATGTAACATAAGAAACGTCAAGGCCTTAATATTTTAAAACAACTAAACGTATAGAACATTTTTCATATCTTTCTTTGAAACAAAACGAATAAACAGTCTTGATTGCCAGTTGTAAATTAGTGTAATGAAAAAAGATTAACTTTTAGATAAATCGTAACGTGTGAAAAGTTTCATTATTGTAGTAAAATTTCTAACGCAATTAAAAAATTGTATATTGGAAAAGTTAAGATAAAACGTAACGTTACCAAAAAAGACATTCTTTGCACTGAAATTTTTTGCAACGTGCAGAACTATACCTAAATGACGATTTATTAAAGCAAAACGTTTGCCACATTTTAGTTTTCAAACCAAGTGAAATTGTAACGTAAGGTCTCTAAAAAACATTTACCTTGCATGAAAGTGGAACTTTAGAAAAATGTGGTTATCATTACTAAAGCTTTAACGCAACACTGGGAAAGTTTTTTAAAACAGGAAATGCAAAAGCGTAACGGAGCCTACTTTTTTACCAACATTCAATAAACCTTAACGTTGTATAAGTTATTCAAATGCAGAAAATTCATTACATAACTTGGTCTATGCAGAAAATTTCATCAATGGCTGACGCCTGGTTAACAAATTTCCTTTAGGAATAGCTAAACGAGGTTTTTCTCGGCGTAATGAACTGCTTCATTATCGCATTTCGTTCGCTCGCGAATAATGCGAAGATTTTGCGAAATAATGCGAAATATTTGCGATAAAAAAATGCGAAAATTTCGCAAAAAAACTGGAAATTATGCCAAAAAAATTTTGCGAATTTTTTCGCCAAATATCGCTTCGTTTTTGCTTCATTTATTTTCAAGAAAAAATGCAAAATTTTGCGAAAAAAGTTTTGCGAAATACGACTGAAAATTTTCGATTTTTTTTGTGAAACGTTTCGTTCGCTGGAATCACTAAATTTATTATGCTCACAGAGAAACAACTTTTCGATAAGAAAGAACACAGTGATATTTTAAGGGGTCAAACTAAATCCACTTACAATCAGAAGGTCTTTTATTCTAATATTATTCCTACCTGCATGTACAGTGAGAGGTACACCCAGACGTTTAGCTTCTTGTACGCCAGCGTACATAGCATGAGAGGGGTCACAGAGCGGATATGTACCTAAACAGTACACTTTCTCATTGTACATATAAGAATTAGAGATAACATATATTGATAATCTTTAAGTTTTGCCTATTTATACATTTCGAAAGGAAGAATCAGAATAGTTTGAACTGTTTTGAGATTTTCAAAATGACTTGTGTGCGTTTTCAAAATTGATCAGAGATATTTCATGATTTTATCTAAAGGGACTGTTGTTGAAATTTCAAAACCCTGCATTTAAAGAGGGGCACTCCTCCTGATACAGAACGATTCCCTTGAAACCTTAAATTTGATAATAATGTGGATTGTTTTTTGACCTTTAAAATTATTTAATTTTAATAACTTCTACATTGTTTCTGAAGCAAGAAATGCGCAAGTCACTTTGTATAAATTCCACAAACGTTAATAATAAAAATGGTAATAAACATGGATATCATACTTAATCAGCTAAAGCTGTACAGTTGTTAATCTCTCAATGGAGTGTCACGTTTATCATTATAATCTCCCATTATGAGGCTGATTTACTGTTTACTGTGCCTTACAGTCTGTGTGTGAACTGTACAGCTTTCTATAGCTGTTTAACAGTTTAAATTAATTGGAGGGTAACTCCCTTTAAACGACTTCTAGACATATTTCTTGACATCTCCGTCAATTTTGATATTTCAAATTTTGTAAATCTGTTTGACTACAGACTACAATTATTGTACCAAGGAAAAAATGATGCAGGGATCAAAGATGATATTCAAAGTCTTTTTGGGGCACCCTGAACAGGTAAACACCACAATTTATAAGGGGATAAGATACATAAATAATCCTGACCGATTTTATTTGCGTACATGATCTCTAACTACCAAAACCTTACATCAACTCTAGGGTGTAATGCAAGGAAAGTTAATTGCGACGTGTATACTCTGCGTACACATTGAAACCAGTTCTCTTTGGGCGGAATTTGTAAACAAGAATAGATGCATCAGTGTTCGTTTAGTATCCCAGGAGGTTAAAAGAATTAAATTTTGATAATTTTGATAATTAACATAATAGTTTCCTATGACCAGAATATTTCATTGATTTTTTTATGTGAAAGATGGATCATATATCAGGCTTCGACATCCGTCTTGTGTTTACATTACCGCGCGCCCAGAGACAGTACACTGCATTACAAAAGATGTGTACACTTCTGAAATAACTTTCCTTGCATTACATCCTTGCGTCAACTAACCTTCATCTCCTGCCACGTCCATCCCAACAACACCAAACATATCCTCAGATGATTTCTGTAAATACCTGGGGACAATTTACAAGGTTAACACCACATGAATGAGAATCCAAAGACGACTGTACGGAATCATTTTCCATCTAATCTTGGTTCCCTGCAGGTCTTTCTTTAACTTCATGCATACCAAAACAGCGGCAGCCGTAGTACATTTGAATTTCCGAGCCGGGTCAACCTTTACGGTCCTAGTTTGTACTGTATCGCCCGGACATTGGGTAAATAAAGCAGACACTCAATAGGACTAGGAGGTGCAACAAGGTTGACGCGGTCAGACTTTAGGTTAAATTTACTTTTACTAAAGGATCAGAGGTGCGTGAAGAAATCAAAGCTACGCTTTTTTAAAGTTTGTCTTTGCAAACTTTTCATCAAAACATAAATTGACTAATTTTAAGTCATACCAGGTTCAAACTTCTAATCGTTTTATTTATAGGGTTTTATGTCGTCATTAAATTTTCATTTTTGTGGGAAACCCTGTATATTTTTGAATTGAAGATCCAGTACGGGTACGGGTACTAAATTTACATTTTGCATTGTGTAAATTTAGATCAGATAAGGGGAAAAGAGAGAAAATCAAGATAAAATTGGCAGTATATATTTCATAAGGAAAAGATCAAAATAAACAGAATAAAAAATATAAATTTGTAATTACTTGAAGGCTAGCTGTGCTGTGCTTATTCCATGATCAGAATTTTTAGATCTAAAAAATAAGAATTTAAAAAAAAAATTATTTTTTATCTTTTTTTTTAACTTACCTTAGTGCTACAAGGATAAGACCAGTTTTAACCTTCCTCTGACCTCTAGCTCCCTCAAGAACAGCCTCCACAACTTCAGCCTCAGTCAATCCTTCCCTAGGGATTCAGTTTTTAATCCCTTTTATACCGTCATCTCGTTTTCAATTCCCTTCAAACTATCACTTTTCTTAATCAATTCCTAGGGATTAAGGACCAAATCTTTTTTGAAGTCGTCAACGTAATCCCTCCCACCGGCTCAGCTACATTTTGCCTAGTCACAATTTGCCTAGTCACATTTTGCCTAGTCACAACTGGCCTAGTTCACTCTTGCCTAGGTAAAATTTTGCCTAGGTAACTTTTTGCCTAGTTCAAGATTGCCTAGTAACATTTTGCCTAGGGTAACATTTTGCCTAGGTAACACAAGAGCATGTTTTTTTTGCCTATTGCGTTTTTTTAAAACAAATTTTGTCAAAAAATAAACATTTTTTGCTAAGCTTAACCAGTTAAATTTTAATGAATTAAATGTTATAGAACAATTGAATTGTATCTTGTCCAGCAATTTTAACATTTTTTATACTCTACAACAGATGAAATATGGTTATATATCAGATATATATATAGATTTTTAATTACAGTTTACATCATGGAGTATAGATAGGTATCATTATTTATCTTATTTCACAATCACAGCCTTTTCTGTGTTCTTAGCTTTAGTCTTCAGCAGCTTGTTGGTATGGCCATGGGTCGAGAGTACATCCCCTACCAGGTTTCCAGTAGATATCCTCGTTGTTAGGGTTGCAGTGTAAGAACAGCGCCATTTCTTGGTCTCTGCCCTCTTACCATCGAAAACATAGGAGAAGTTATTCTTTTCCCTGTAGTTGGACTTACCCCGAATGGTAAGCCTTGCAGTTATCATGGGAGCTACTTTCAATGTGTCTTTCGATTGGTTTATAGAAAATTGAACTATTTTTAAAAATTTGCGAAATTTTTGCCAAAAAATTTGGAGATTTTTGAAAATTTCTTTGTGAAAAAATTATTGACTAGGCAAAAAATTCGCTCTATCGTTACTCTAGGCAAAATGTTACCCTAGGCAAAATGTTATTAGGCAAAATGTTACCTAGGCAAACTGTTACCTAAGCAAAATGTGACTAGGCAAGTTGTGACTAGGCAAAATGTGACTAGGCAAATTGTGACTAGGCAAAATGTAGCTGAGCCCTCCCACCCTAGGGATCTAATCCTTTTTAACCCTTCACATCCCTCAATCCCTTCCCAGAGCATAAGGATCCAGTTTCGTTATCGATCTCTCCCTTAGGAATCCAGTATTTCTTCATATATAACCTTCATTTCACTGGTCTACTTTTTTTAAATAGATCCTTAGTAGTCAAGGAGTATGGAATAGAAGGGAGAAACAACTGTCGCAGCCGCCCTACCATATGATTATACATGCTTTGCAGACGGTACTTCATTTGTATAAGAAATATTTGTCTGATGTACAATTACCGCGTATACAATAACCTATTCTGTATTCTGAATATTTCTTATTCAAATGAAGTACCGTCTGCAAAGCATGTATAATCATATGGTAGGGCGGGCTGCGTCAGTTGTTTCTCCCTTCTATTCCATACTCCTTGACTACTAAGGATCTATTTAAAAATATTTTTGTTTTTAAATTTAATCAACCATTCAGTTATGATTTTAGAAGAAAAAAATTGTATTTTGTGTAAACTTATTAAGAAAAGGCAGTTGTGTTTAACACAAAAATAAAAAAATTTGAATCTAAAATAAATTCAGTATATTATCATTTTAATTTATATAATTACTTTGTGTGAAGAAAGGGGCAGAACCGGATTTCAGCATAAACAACGTTTTCCTGAAAAAATACAAATAATTAAAAAACAGTAATTTTATTCCAATTCCTGATTTTGATGTTGCAATTATTTTTTTTATTATTATTATCTTTATAATAAAACAAGACATTCGTATATATGTTTCGTATAACCGGCCAAACGGCTGGACCGATTGGGCTGAAATTTTTTGTGGACACTCGTGGGTGGTCGGGGGGTGTTAAAGGCGAAATTTTTTTTTATTTTTTTACTTTATTGCTTAATTTTTTTCTTTAATGGGCAACGCCGGACCCTTCAGATAGTTACTATTATTATTATTATTAAATTGTTACTAGTACTTTGATTACTACCTGTGCCAATCTATCTAGAAGATCGAGGGTTCCAAGACTTAATTCCTCTTTAGTCTAAAAGTAAAGACTTTTTTTTATAAAAGTAAAACTTGGTTAAAAATGTGAACATTTGAAAAGTGACATTTCAACATTTTTTTCTACAGACTTAGTTTCTTTATTGTAGGCTATATGTATTATTAAACTCACATAGAATATGCACAATTCGTCGTGATTTGGGTGTGGATCAAAATAACACAATACAAATTCTTTATATAAGAAAGAAAGGAAAAGCTTTTCTTGAGTCTAAACATCTTAAATTGTTCTTATTTCTTGAAGAGTTCCCGCGCATGTTATAGCATACTTGTTGTATAAAAACATTTATAGCACAGTTTTTTGGGATAAAAACTAAAGTTATAGAAACTTAAAACAGGATCTGAAATTAGAAAATAGGATCTGAAATTAGAAACAAACAGGATCTGAAATTAAAAACAGGATCTGAAATTAGAAAATAGGATCTGAAATTAGAAAATAGGATCTGAAATTAATTAGAAAATAGGATCTGAAATTAAAAACAGGATCTGAAATTAAAAACAAACAGGATCTGAAATTGTAATTTTAATAATATTTCTTAACCTGAAGAAACTGATTGCAGAAATCAAAAACAGGCCAATTTCCACCTTTCTCAGCCCTGAATAGAATAATTAAAATACAAATTCAGAAATATCAATTTGACAAACAAACATGAGATATAGATAAAATGTAAACAGTGGAGGGGTGGTGGGGGGGAGGTAAAAAATAGCTTTGAAAATGGCCATATGCAAAAAACTTACTTATTGCCATCGGTGTTTAGTTTTTCCAGTTTCTTCATCATCAAAAACTGTCTCAATTGTTCTACAAAAAAAACATTTTTTAGATGGTAAAATACTGATTTTCCATAGTTCATTCATTTCATATTTTTATTCAACTACAAAGCATGAGATATTACAAATAAGCAATCACAATTTACTATGCAGTTTGAACCCGCCTAACCAGGGTTGGTTGTTTTGAGTGGTTATGTAAATCTCATCTATATATATAAAGTTGAAATCTCTGTTTGTCTGTTTGTTTGTCCGATCATAACTCAGGAACCCCTGGACCAATTTGCCTCAAATTTTGATTAGTGAACTCGGGAGACCCACGGGAATTTTCTTAGCTTGGTTTTAAGATTCTATGTAGAGTGTGTCGCCTTTTATTCAATTGCGGGTAAACGGCGGGATTAATTTTTAGTAACCTAGGCAGCGCCTGGTTTTCAAGCTAGTTTATGCAATTTTTAATAAGTCACAATTGTAGCACATTCAGAATATGGTTCAAAGTTAAGGATTTAACCTAGTTTCTGAAATGAATATTTTCTAAAAATGTTGTGCGTAATTTTGTTCAGTTTAAAACTACCTGGAGGAACCGGAAGTTGAATTCCACGTGCTAAAGCTCGTCTTCCAATAAACTCTGGCGATAAAGATCCATCCAGGTGCAGATGTAGTTCAACCTGTTTATGTTCATTTTTGTATATTCATGTTCATGTCCATGTTCATGTTCAGTTAACTGGAAAACTGTCCGTAATTTGAGGATTTTTGGTAATTTAACATACAAAATTTTTATTTTGTGACTGTTGAGTAAAAACGCATTTTTGAATGGCACCAATCAATTAAAGATTTTTTAGGCGAAAAATTGGATTTTCCTGAAAAAAAACTTTTAAAAATGTTGAAATTTATTAGAGCAGCTCAAATGAAACCTTTATGTATCTAGCTGAAAAAAAGATTTTTTTGAAATTTACCAATGATCTTTAATGTATAAGCTGAAACAAATGTCGTCAGTGTGGCCAATCAAAACTATATGATCGCCACAGACTACTTGGACTTAAATTTGCAATTTTTGTTCTAAAAATATCTGAACAATAAAACAGTAAAAACAGTAAAAAAGGAGTAGCAGAGCCCTTTTTTCAATTTTCGGTTTTAAAGTTCCCTTTTTACAGGACTTTTCATAAAAGGTCGGATAAATTTTCACATTATACTCCCTGGGAGCAATTCCAAAACCCGGAGAGCAGCCACCCCTCCCTCGCACAGCTAACATATAGCAGAAACTCTATAAGCAGCTCTGGTAATGAACAGCTAATATAGCAGAGACTCTAGGAGCCGCTCTGGTAATAAAGGAAGCAGCTGGGAATGTAGTGGAAGCATCCCATATTGTAAGAGCAGCTAAAGTAGCTTGGCTAAGATTGCAGTGCAAAAGATATTGAACTTGAGGAGCTAAACGAGATATCGAGTTGGAGAAGCTGCCTAGATAGATACGGAACTGGAGCAGCTGAATGAGATATTGAGATTGAGTAAGCTGTTTAGACAGACACCGAACTGGAACAGCCGAACCACATTTTCTTAGACCATAGAGAGCTGATTCAACAAGAACAAACATAAACAGATGTATTTAGATCTATAAACGGAAAAGCTAATAAATCCCATTCATTCATTCATTTTATAAAGAGAGAACATTATAGGGGTTTATGAAACAAAGTACGAGGACTTAGAGAAAGACATTTGTACACGCCCTAAGCAGAGGGAGTAAATGATTGATCTCGAAAATACCTAAGATTTATATCTGTAATTGTAATCGAGTAAATATCTTTAATCATTCATTATAAGGATTATAATTTTGTTTAATATCATAGTTAGACCATATGACCTAAACATTAAACAATTCAAAATGAATTTTTATGAATAATGTTTTTTACCGAATAATAGTTAAATATTCTACCTTAGGAAGTTGTTTTGCAGTGTTTACATCCTCGTCTGTATACCCGGACATATCTGAACCTGACATTCTTCCTTCAACTCTGAAAAAAAGAAGAAGAAAAATCTACGTACAGGGTGTCCCAATAAACATGGGAATTCAGTGACCAATTCGATATCGTCTTTTCAAATAATTCTTTGATTTGGTATAGTGATACCTACTGAGAAAGCTGTGATCTGCATAGAGAATAGAATATATATTAGAGGGGAATTTACTAGAAAAAAGTGTAAAACGGCCATTTTGTTGTACTGCAGGTGTACTTCACATATTTATGCTATATAACCTTTTGGGCCCTGGAATAACATTTTATAGAAAATTTAAAATTATTGTCAAAAGAAACCCAAATTATGAAATAGACTGGTTTCATAATTAACCAATGATCATTTCACATAGACTCTATGCCTTCCACTTTACAAACGATGATTTTCCGTTATAACTATAAATCAAATCATGTTTTTTATTCACCTGATTCATTATAAAGTTTATTTAACAGTTTAAAAAATTCGAAATTGAAATGAATAGTCTAGGGAACATACTGTATTAATGTACTCTACTGCATAAAATTTGTGATCATTTACATGATTGGTACACTTTGAACTCCTTTTCAGGCTGAAAGGGACTGAAAAAATTCATATCGAGAGATTCTTTAAATTCCCCTCTAATATATATTCTATTCTCTATGGTAAAAGTTTCGTCTGAGCTATGTTCACATTGTGTTTGTTTATGTTTTGACTGCATACGGTTGTACTTAGTAAAACAAGAATATTGAAGTATACAAACAGAGTAAACTTGTTGGAATTCACTGTTCATCCTTTTATCCATTTTATAAAATAAACCCTAGCAGACATAATAATATTATGGCTTTTGAAATTAGGTATTACAATGCTAATTCATAGCAAAGACGATATCGAATTCGTCACTGAATTCCCATGTTTTTTGGGACACCCTGTAGAACGAGAAAAAATAGTAAAATTTATTGAGAAAACAAATTATTTTGATATCTTTTCCTTAATTTAGTTTTATATTTAATATTGTAAGCATGGAGAAAGGCTTACGATAGCAGAGAAGACTTGTCATCTGTCCCACTGCTATCGTTGACTGCAGTTTATGTACAGGTAAGCCTTTCTTACAATATTTTACAGAATTAAACCTTTAGATTAAGATATCTTTAAAGTTTTTTGTTTTAAATACACTTTGAACGTGAAATGGAAAGCCTAATAATTTGCAATTTAAAATTAGTGACAAATGATATACATGCCTAAAAATCTTTAGGACACTTTTTTTTTAAATAGTTGAGAGGCAAATATAAAATCCTAAATGACATTTTATAAAAAATTTACTGTTTTCTAGTTCTCCCTGAAGAAACCTAAACATCAAACATCCAAAAATTGCGAATTTTTACCGAAGCAAAGAAACTGAAGAAGAAAAAGAAGAGAGAAGAGAGGTAAGATTATCTGTAAAACTGCAGTGATCAACTTCTCCTAATAAAAGGACTCCAACAAGTACAAGGAAACCTAAAACAATATTAAATGTAAGGAATTTAAGAAAGTAAAAGAAGGTCCAAGTTCTGCAAGTTCAGCTGCTGCATAGATAGAAAAACAGAGTTCATATATTGAATGAAATGCATTAATTCTCACTGCAATCATGCAATGTTCTAGCTTTTTTCACGGAATGCTGCCAATGCTAGTCGGAGCATTATAAGTATTGAGCTGAAAACTTAATTTGCTTTACCACAAAACATTGAAAAAGCAAAATATATAAATTATAATCTAAAAAATACAATTAACACATGTGTAAATGGAAATTATCTTTTCTTAATAAATAGGAATTGTCTTTTAAACTGTTATCTGATTATTTTGCGTTAATGTGATAAGAATTACGCGGGTGAATATCAAGGACAGGTGGGGGGGGGGGGGGGGGGGGGGAATACTGGTTTAATGGAATGCTGCTCTGTAAATTCATGTAATTTTAATCTATCCGACTCGTAATATATAATTTTTATGTTTAGGAAGAACTTTTAAAAAAATGTTTTCACATGTATTATCGAATTCCCATGTTTTCACATGTATTCGCGGATTCCCAAGATAAGGCATTGGAGAGCTCGGTAAATATATATATAAATGAAATCATACATCGATTTTTACACAGGATTTAATGTGGGGGAGGTTGTTTGTCATTAGGGTATTTTAAATTCTTTAAAACTTTTTTTTAACAATTTAGATATTCACCATATTTAAAGGTATTAAGTTTGATACACAAAGTCCTACTTAGGGTTTCCAGCGAACAAAAACTTTCACGAAAAAATGCGTAAATTTTCGTTCGGATATCGCAAAATTTTTCGCAAATTTCGCATTTTTTGCGAAAATGAATTCAGCAAAAAAATGCAAAATTTTGCAAAAACAATTTTCGCTAAAAAAATGTTCAGCAAAAAACCGTAGTGTTGCTGCAATGATTAGTTGCGCAAAAAAACTTGCGGAATTCTCTGCTCTGAGACCTCAGCATTAGAAGTTTTATTACATTATAATTAATAATTTCTCTTCCTTTACTTTAACAATGTTTGATCTATCTAGTAATACTAAATGTTTGATCTATCTAGTGATACTAAATGTTTGATCTATCTAGTATAATACTAACTGTTTGATCTATCTAGTAATACTAAATGTTTGATCTATCTAGTAATACTAAATGTTTGATCTATCTAGTGATACTAAACGTTTGATCTATCTAGTGATACTAAATGTGTGATCTATCTAGTTATACTAAATGTTTGATCTATCTAGTGATACAAAATGTTTGATCTATCTAGTAATAGTACATGTTTAATCTATCTAGTAATACTAAATGTTTGATCTATCTAGTAATACTAAATTTTTGATCTAACTAGTGATACTAAATGTTTGATCTATCTAGTTATACTAAATGTAAGATCTATCTAGTGATACTAAATGTTTGATCTATCTAATAATACTAAATGACTCGAAATATAAAGCACGGCGCATGTTTATTTCAGAAATGCTTCCCTTTCACCTATAAGGAACGGTGGGGAGGGGGTGTATTAGGGTTTCCAATCGGAATTCCGTTGTGCAAAATTGCGCTCGATGATGGCTTCCGCTGGCGCCATTTCAATGCGCGGAATTGGGCTATAATTGCGAACAAGGAAGCAAATAAATACTCGCGGAATTGCGCGGAATCGTGCGGAATTGCGCGGGATCGCGTGGAAAAGAATTGCTTTTCCTTCTAAAAATCAATAATTTTAACTGTGACTTTCAAATTTATGCAGCAAATGCAAGAATGGAAACATCTCTGTAGATTTAAAAATAATCAAGGCCCGAAAGTTTTAAAAAATTTCAAGTTTCGTGTGGTTAAGCTACTAATTAACAATTCAACATGATACATTTTCCCTTTTTTTGGTTAGAATTGTATAAGGTTCGTTTAATAAAAATTAGATATTTTGCTACAGTGAGAACCAGAAAACTATGGTACAGACAGGTGACATTACAGTGTATTTGATGTTACAAAGCAACAAATTTTCGTTAGTAACTTAATAAATCACTTATTGAGTTAAATGGGTCTGTTAGAGTCTAAAATGTCGTCTTCCTATTCCAAACATGTTGCATATGAATATTATAAAATAAAAGATTAAGTTTAAATTCAATTTTTCTGGCATTTGAGACAGTAATGTTAGTGAAGTGAAGATTGTATTCCACTACCAAAGTTTAAATTGTTTTTTTATGTAGAACGGAATTGCTCAATAATTAAATGCAATTTTGCTTGCCATATAAGGTTTAAATTGAAAATTATCAAAAATTGAAACACAAACGCATGAAAGTTGGACGGAATTGTGCGCTATAGCGCACAGTTGCCCGCAATTCCGTTACGATTATTGCGCGCAATTATTACGGAATTGCGCGCAAGTAAAATCCACTTGAATTGCGTTGGAAACCCTGGTGTGTATGCATATATGTTAAGATTACTGGGTGGTGTCATCTCCCCCGATATATTTTTCAAAATGTGCACAGTATAAATGTTTTCAGGGTTTAGGCACATTTTAAAAAATGCAAAAGTAGGTCTTAAAAATCGATATATATGCTTTTCCAAATAAAGACATATAGTCTCAAATCCCCTCACACTTCTCAAGGTGTAATGTACTCTAAGGGTGTAATTTACTTCCCCCCCCCCCGCCCCGGAATTTGCGTATTTTGTTCGTGAAATTTGGTCTTTAATGTGGAATTTTCGCTATTTTTTCACGAAATTTTGTTCAAGATTTCCTAATCTGCAATTGGTGCAACTGATTGCTTTAAATATTCAATGACCGAATTTAATGAATTTGAGTAAGGTCGCAGAACTGCCTACAGGAATCGGTGATTCAATATTTGAACCGGCGTTAGGTAGATTAGCGATCTCTCCAATTAATAAAATTTAGTCCCAGGCACAACTGTTATAAATAGTTCAATTTCAAATTGAAAATGAGAAGACGACGATAATTTCACTGTTTTGTGGTTTCCACTGCACTGTAATATATATGTATCTTGTCTAATATTTCCATGAACCCTGTAGTTTTGTGGATCCCACTGCACTGCAATATATATGTGTATCTTGCCTAATATTTCCATGAACCCTGTAGTTTTGTGGTTCCCACTGCACTGTAATATATATGTATCTTGCCTAATATTTCCATGAACCCTGCAGTTTTGTGGTTTCCACTGCACTGTAATATATATGTATCTTGCCTAATATTTCCATGAACCCTGTAGTTTTGTGGATCCCACTGCACTGCATTATATGTGTATCTTGCCTAATATTTCCATGAACCCTGTAGTTTTGTGGTTCCCACTCCACTGCAATATATATGTATCTTGCCTAATATTTCCATGAACCCTGTAGTTTTGTGGTTCCCACTGCACTGCAATATATATGTGTATCTTGCCTAATATTTCCATGAACCCTGTAGTTTTGTGGTTCCCACTGCACTGCAATATATATGTATCTTGCCTAATATTTCCATGAACCCTGTAGTTTTGTGGTTCCCACTGCACTGCATTATATGTGTATCTTGCCTAATATTTCCATGAACCCTGTAGTTTTGTGGTTCCCACTGCACTGCAATATATATGTATCTTGCCTAATATTTCCATGAACCCTGTAGTTTTGTGGTTTCCACTGCACTGTAATATATATATATGTATTTTGCCTAATATTTCCATGAACCCTGTAGTTTTGTGGATCCCACTGCACTGCATTATATGTGTATCTTGCCTAATATTTCCATGAACCCTGTAGTTTTGTGGATCCCACTGCACTGCATTATATATGTATCTTGCCTAATATTTCCATGAACACGGTAGTTTTATATCATGTGACGGAACCTACTGCTGCTGCGACATTGATCTGAAAAATAGCTAAATCTGATCATCATATCATCAATTAAATATTTCTTTGTGTTTTTATAGCATTATGAATGACAAGAAGAAGAGGACAAATTATTTTGATTTCTTAAATCCGTTGTTAACATTGACATAGTGTTGAACATAGAACATTGACATTTTATATTTTAATATCAAGGGATTAAAAATTGTTATTATTATTCCAATCCATTGATGTATTTGAATCCTAACCTTTTAAATGCTTTATTTGTTAAAAAGCTAAACATGGTTTATTAATAATTTATCAATATCACTCCAATAGATTTATCAAGTCTTTCAGAAATAAATCCCTGAAAGAGGAGAGTTAACAAACGATTTAGGAAGGGATTAACTGCATTCAAAAGTTCTCACCTTACGTCACTTATTTGTTAAAAAGCTAAACATGATTCATTAATTATTTATTCAAATCACCCCTGGGGTCTTGGTCATGTTCATCAATTGAACTAACAAAATGTCAAAACACAGATTTTCAAGAATTCTACATTTACCTAGGTATGACACGACATTAATACTTCACTTCCCCTTCCCTTTTCAGGTCACGTGATAAAATATGATCCCAAATATCTATACGCGGTATTTAGGGCGTTTCGCGCTTCCCTTCTTGTTGGTGGTAAATTAATCTTCCCTGGGGTCATGTGAGTTGCCTTAAAAAATTTAGGCCCGATCGGTTCAGCCGTTTTGACCTTTTTTTCTTTACAAACAGACAAAGTATAGAATAAAATATTCTTGCTTTTTCACTGATAAATATATCAATAGATATATTTCTTGATCCAACTATTGTTCCAGTGTTTAAAATGTTCACATGATTACTGTTTGATGAAGATTAAATTCATAACTTCGTAAGTTACTGTTGCTCATTGCCTGTTCTCCCATCAAGGGATTTATTGTCTTGAAAAAAAAGAAATTTTGAATTATTTTTTTTGTCGTTGTAAATTTGGGAAATAAGAAAATTGAAATGTTTTGTATCTATTTATTTTTAAACTTGCTTTCCCTGCTACCCNTCTTGTCTAGCTTTACAGAGCTGCCTTATTTAGTTTTGCGAAGCTAGTAACTTTGTGGAGCTATCAACTCTGCTGAACTATTAATGTTGCGGAGTTGTTAGCTTTGTGGAGCTATTAACTCTGCGGAGCTATTAATTCTGCGGGGCTATGTATTTAGTTTAGCTATGCGGAATTATATGTATCCTTGCTTGTATATATAAATATAAATATCTATAACCAGCTATTGATAGTTGAATGTATGTATCAGGCTATATTATGTTAATAGTCTGAGTTATATGAATCAATGTAACTTGGGAGCTGCACTTACCTAAGGTAGAAGATTATATCTATGTATAAGTCTTTCTACTATTAAGGTTCTTTGTGCACTGAGCTTTATTACCTTTATTCTTTAAGTTGATAGCGGCGAGGTATCATATCTGTGTTTCTATAGATAGGTGCAGACCCATGTATATATATACTATATATATATATATATATATATATATCTATAATCGTCTAGATTATCCAGATTACTACAACATCCCCCGATGATATAACTTTAAATTTATAATTTGGGATATAGTTATATGCTTGTTCAATTTATTATATCATCATATAATCTGGACTAGACAGGTTATGTGTCTAAGCTTCCCAACTCTAGGTTTTGGGTCCTAGTGTGCGTTGGGTCATCTGTTTGGCGGGGCATATTTTGAATCAAGTTCTTACGGAACTCATTCAATAGCAAAGTGTTCAACCGAAATGCAGTGCCCCAGGTAACTCCTCTTTTCCTGGTCGATATTATGCTTATAATTACACAAATCAATTTAGCTACTAAATATAGTACCATGAAGCAGCTGGCATAACTGCCATAAGTTTGTGCACATTCTAACATCCATGACCAGATGTCTAGTGCATGGATAGCTTCTTTGGCTAGGTTGTTTAGATCAAAGCCCATGCTACCTGTGGGTTGATACTCACCACAGGTTCCGGGGGATGAACAATATTGTGCCGTGATTGCATAAGTCAAGGCTTTCCTACTTTTCTTGGCATAGAACAGCTCTTGATAGGCTTGCCACTCTTTGGCAGTGTAGAGGAGACTATCTGTTTCCTCTATATGACCTAGTTCGTCTATATGATACCCGGATTCCTCCGGTTTAGTCAACTCTAGTTGTATGGATTGTACAGTAGGGGTTGCCTGTACTAGAGTGCCGTCAATGGTTTCAAAAATGGGAGTGAAGATCTCTGTGCATTCTACGAGATCAAATACTGGTTGTTTCGTAATTAGTTTAGAGGTGTCTAAATATACCGGTTCCTCATTCATGTATACTGGTAGATGGTCCCTGGAACATTTATCATGTCTTTTATACCCTGGACTGACCGTCACTTCTACCTTGGTACATTCCATTTCTTGGATAATGTCGCCCCTATCCCTAATAAGTGCATTAGGGTGGAGTGGGCTTCTCTCCATTTGTTGTACTGACTCTGTGCCTAACATGCATAGATGTTTTTGAATCCCGTGTATTGTGGAATCTAACATCATTTCCACTCTATAGTGTGAAAATTCTGTGGTCATTCTTATTTCTAAATCAATGTTCATGCTATCAGGATGTGTAAGTAGGTCACCTAGTTTGGGGTCTAGGGTATTTGCGATAATAACTATTTCCGGATAGTCAGTTTCAAAATACGTCAAATCGCACTCTTCACTCTTCTGTTTGTTAGTTTTCCTTAATATAATTTCATGTTCTTGGTTTACTAAGTATTCGGTCATTATCCCCTGGCGTTTCAACTTGATCTTACTTAACTCCAGGTTTCGGATCTTTTCTAGGTTACATAAACTAGGTTTCTCTAGTACTAGGTATGTGTTTGTACCGACAATGCATTTCATTGAGTCAATACACTGCCTTTCTAATTCAATATTTTCTAAAGTCTCAATAACGGTATTTTGGGATGTTTGGATCTCAACCTCTGACATTGTTACTTGGGTAGTTTTTAATTCTAACATGCCTTCATGTTGCTCTCCATTGAGTGTAAATTTAGCACCGGTACAATAAACGTTATATTCGTCCGCCCATATTTTCCCATGTACAAGTTCTTTAAACTGGATTTGTTGATTCGTACTAATTCTTAATGTCCTTCCGTTTGAAATGTATGCTTGTCTTTGGTGCATATCATAACATTCATCAATTGACATTATTTCGGGTTCTAATATTGACGGTGGGTTAAAGAATTTCATGTGTGAATAGTTTCCACAGTATGTTAGAAAACATGACGCTTTTTTTGTACATTTTATTCCTTTTAGTTTTTGTGTAGTAAACTTTTGGGCTAAAATAACTTTTTCCTTATTTTCACCATCCCCCGTTTTTTTAGAGTCAATAACCGGTAAGCACCATTCTGATTTTTTATAGCTCACCAATGACTTCGGCTTCAAGCAATTATACCCATGAAATTTAAAGACACTTTTTTCCCTTATTTGTTGAATACAGTTTGCAGTTGTAAAAAAACAGATAACTATTAAGGTCGTCTTTAAAACAGTTTGTTTCATAATTAGTTCTATAGTCCAATCTGGCATAAACTCGGTAAGTTTCGGCTAATGAGAGTATGTATAGCCTATTACATAATAAATTGGGGTAATTGGGGATAAGTTAAAAATTTTTTTTTTGTTAAATTCAACCAATCGCATTCCAATTGGGTTTTTGGAAAGTAAATAAGTGAGTTGGTTTGATTTGAAGCTTTCCCCTCCGTGGAGGATTTCCGACTGCGGATCTTATTCATCATGTAGATATTTATAGCTTTAAAATGTCGTTTAGTAAGCATAAAATAAATTCAAATTTTCCTCTCATTAATTATATAACTCTCAATATGGGATTCAACAGTATTGACTTTGGGTTCTAGACTTTAGGTTCCAGGCTTTTAGTTTTGGGTTCTAGACTTTAGTTTTCCTTTCTACGCATTTTCGTTTTACTGCGGCTCCGTTATAATTTAGGTACATTTGTTAACTAAAGTCTTAATTTTTTTATATTTATAGAAAAATTCTTTAAGTAATCTAGTGGCTTGTATATTTAATTGGTTTTGACTTTAAGGCATGTTGGGTTTCCATAAAGTAAAAACGACTAAACAGATATTCCAAAAAAAAAAAAATTTTATTAGGTTGGATTTAGCTCAATATCATTAGTCAAATTGTATTGGATATGACAGGGATTTTGGGCTTATCATTTATTGTTATACATTGTGTATCATTGGGTGTTTAATACTTTGTTTATGCATATAATTTTATCACTATTTGACTTTCATATTCAATATACAGCAGGAAACATTCTAGAAAAGATAAAATTGAAATACACGTACAAAACTGATAGGCTCCGTTATAATTTAGGTACATTTGTTAACTAAAGTCTTAATTTTTTTATATTTATAGCAAAATTCTTTAAGTAATCTAGTGACTTGTATATTTAATTGGTTTTGACTTTATAGCATGTTGGGTTTCCATAAAGTAAAAACGACTAAACAGATATTCCAAAAAAAACAAAATTTTATTAGGTTGGATTCGGCTCAATATCATTAGTCAAATTGTATTGGACATGACAGGGATTTTGGGCTTATCATTTATTGTTATACATTGTGTATCATTGGGTGTTTAATACTTTGTTTATGCATATAATTTTATCACTATTTGACTTTCATATTCAATATACAGCAGGAAACATTCTAGAAAAGATAAAATTGAAATACACGTACAAAACTGATAGGAGGGGCGCCAGAGGGGGGTCTGTCCTAAAGAACGATTTTTGGCCCCCCCCCCCCCCTGGCTCAACCCATCCTTTCAATTTAGTCAGGGCCAAGTGGTGCTGCTATTACAGGGTATGGGGCCAAGCGCTGCGGCCACACGAGTATGTATACAAATTCGCTGAAAAATAAAAAATAAATGGTCATGTACAAAATTGATAGGAGGGGGTGGGGCGAGGGGGGGAGGTGTCAAAAAATCATATGTTAGGCAGTGC